TTAAGGTCCTTTGAATTCATCCTTGACCTCAGCCTCCTCCTGGCTTCCTACAGCCGGATTGTCCACACAGCTCTGAAGATCAACTCTGGCAACGTCCGTCACAAAGTCTTCCACACTTGTGGCACCCACTGGATCGTGATTGTCATCAGCTACTCCTCTCGCCGCCTCTCTTCATCCGTCGTCTTCCGACTTGCCAAATCAGCCTCGCAGGATGTCCACAACCTCATCAGCGCAACCTACTTGCTCTTCCCCTGGACTGTCCACCCTTTGATCTACGGTGTGAGAACCAAAGAGATCAGAGCCAGTCTCCTGAAACTCTTTCCAAAAAAATAAACCTTCTGATCTCCCCCCCCCCCCTTTCATCTAGAAGCCACTTTCTTGCCTTTGTCTTTGGCCAAAAATAAGTCATTATTGGTACATGTTTCTGGTAGTAGCCGACATAACAGCAGATGGGTCAGGCTCTGCATTTTTCCATTCACACAGCTTGTTGTTATTCACTAGGGGCCTCCACTTGTGTATAGTGGTCTTATAGTTAACCACTCCAACTTTCAACCTATTCAGATCCTCGAAGTTGTATAAGGGAAACCAGATCCTTCAGCCAGATCCTCCTTTAACGTTATTCCCTGTTTGATGGTCTCCTTCCTCTATCTTTTAATTCTTGTGTACTCTGAAGAATGTTTGTTCTTGCCATAAAGCTCTTTCGAGATCTGAGTCAGCGTGCTTGGGGCAAACGCCCGTTGAGAGGATGTCAAGGATCATTCTCTGGATTAATTCTCTCAGCTGCTGCTGCTGCTACTTCTTTCCTGATCTTAGGTGGGGCAATGCCAGCGAGCGGGTATATTTTCTATTTTTCCCTGAGCTTCCCAAATCTTTGTTGACTTACCCAAAATTGGGTAAAACTGGTTTTTCTTTGGGACCCCTCCCCAAGATGGCTGCTGAACAGTAAGGGTTTTATTTTTTTCTATCTTGCTAGTGATCTGCTGCGTTTGCTGTCAAAGTTGGCTCTCTGGCGGTGCTGCTCCCTGGATTTAAATGGGAGCACTTAGGAATGACCCAAGACCACTTTTAGAAGGCTGTGGACCCATCTGGGAAGGGCAGCCTTGAAAATTCCAAGTCCCTGTGAGAGTGGTTGGAAAGTCACTGGTCATCCATCTACAGTATCTCTTGGCAGTTCATTTTCCGAAGCATGCCTGGAATTTAACTTCACTTTTCGAATATTTTGTTTTACTCTGCTTTTTATTCTTAAAAGTTGACCGGTAGGTTGAAGGTTGAAGAACTCCCTGCTGGACTCCAGCTGTTCTTTTTTCTTGTGATGTGTTGTTGTTTTGAATACCTTTCGCCTTTCTATAAGGAAACAGTGTGTTCCTGGATGGTGAAAGTGTTTTCATTTTATTAATATTGGACTTATCACAGGGCTTTAGCAGGGTATTAATTTACAAAATATTTGGAGCGAATTTTTTTTAATTTTTCTGTTTATCTTGGATCAAAATATTCAGAAAATATCTTCACTGTTTTTTTATTTCTTCATTTTGCCTCAGCATTCTTTATTTCCTGGTTAAGTTACACGAGCAATAATGTATCAGATTACAGACAAGCAAGAGTGGCTGATATCTGGAAAGAGACCCTTTGGTAACATGCAATTTTTTGTTGAAACTTTTTTTTAAAAAGTTTGATGAAATGATAATGGCTGTGGAAAATATTCAGATGCATGTAGCTCTGGATAAATTAAATTCACAAAAGGATTGTGATTTGTAGATTGCAAATCTCTTGGAAATGCCTTTACAGACTTAGAACTGAGTTGATTGCATACACCGCTCTGAAATTCAAGCCTGCATTCTTTTACAATAGCAGAAGCTGGATTGAATGGAGAAGAGCTTCTTTGGTTTCCTCTAGGAGGATTGGAGGAGACTGGGGAATGGATTTATCACACTTAATTGGAAAGTCATCTGGACTTTGTTGAGAAGAGACCAGTTGTGGAGACGAAATTCATTTTATTTAACCAGACAATGGATAAGACATGGTATTAAGAAACAAATATGGAATTACTCTTCACTCTTAGGATGATTTGGGATAGATAAAATGCCATAGTAAATTTTCTACCGGTATGATTACAGTAAGTTTGTTAACAGAGGGTTTTGATACTTTAACCTTGCCTTTCTTATTACTGTTCTTCTGTTGTTTTTTCATTAATATAGTACATAGATGACAGGTCAATAATTTGCAAATAGATTTAAGAGTTTAAAAAATGTGGGGGCCTGTTTTGCAAGGGGAGGGAAACTAATGTAATAATGTATGAATCAGTATTCAATTAGGTGGGATAATAGGAGTATTTGCGTTGGTATTTTTAATGCACTTTTTTCAATCTCTTCTTTGCTTTGTAGTTTTTGTTTTAAAAAAAATCTGGAGTTTTGTATTTTAACTTTTTTGGAATAAAATTAGATTTAAATTTTTTCTTTCTTTCAGTAATGACAGAAAAACCCATGACCCATTACAAGGACAATGAACTTTATGATCGACCCATATATGAATAAAATATATTCAAAAATCTCCCAAAGTACTTCTACTAAGACAAAAAGCAAGTTACCAATGGTAATTGGCTGAAATGACATAAAGATCATCCATCCATTCACCCATATCTATCAATCTATCTTGTCTCTCTACCATATATATCTTATCTACCTATCTCATGGAATCATAGGGCTGGAAGGGTCCTTAGAGGTCTTCTAGTCCAATCCCCTGCCAAGGCAGGAGACCCTATGCCTGTGATGGCGAGCCTATGGCATGCGTGCCAGAGACGGCATGCAGAGCCCTCTCTGTGGGCACACGCGCCATCGCCCCAGCTCAGCCAGCCGATCGTCGGGATTTTTGTGCTCTGGTGTGCACATGCATGTGTGCGCTCTGGTGCACATGTCTTCCGATTTGGGCACTCTGTGCCTAAAAGGTTCACCATCACTGCCCTGTGCCATCCCAGTCAAATGGGATACTTGTCACTGTCAGGAAATTCCTGCTTGGTTCCAGGTTGGATCTCCTTCTGGCCAGCTTCCATCTGGTCCTGCCCTCCCTCAGGAGAAGAGCTTTGGGAGATTTTGAGGCTCTTTATAGGACACAGAGGCCAGCGGTGGAACAATGCAAAATTTCACAGGAAACACAGCAAGAAATATATATATATATCTTTATCTGCAAAGTGGAACTCGTAAGGGCAGCCTTCCAATCTCACCCAAGCTGCGGGTGGTCCATCACTGGAAGCTTTCAAGAGTTTGGACAACCATTTGTCCAGAATGAAATAGGATCTCCTGCTTGAGCAGAGGGTTGGACTAGATGACCTCCAAGGTCCTTTCCAACTTCATTATTTTCTATGTTCTTTCTGCCCAGCTTGCAGGCTTCCCAGGATCATCTAATGGCCACACAGGGAAGTCCAGAGCTGGGCCAGGGGGAGAACCTGGGCTAGGAGCAAAGGGCCGGTTGGAGTGGTGGCGCCTCTCTACTCCTCCCCAGGCCCAGCACCCCACAGGATCAGGGGGCAACTCCCAGCTGGCATGCTGAGCCAGTTCTGCCACCTGGGTGCATCTTGGCTTCTCCCCTATGACCCTCCACTGGAGGAAGACCTCCCCTGGGGTGCTGCCTTGATAAGGAAGGGGGGGGCTGACCTGCAACCCAGGGAGGAAACTTTTGGGCTGGCCCTTCAAAAGGATTCCCTCAGACGAGATTTCAGGCGTAACATGAGCAGTTGGCATGGTTCAACCTTCCTCGGATCTTGGTGAGTAGATGCTAAGTGTTCCCTGGGAGGACTTGAATGGGGGAAACAGGCAGGGAGGGAGGCTGCTGTCCAATTGGCACACGGTTCTCTAAGATATTTAGTCGGGGGGGGGGCTTTCCACTCTTTCTGGCAGGCTTGGCTGGCTCCATATCTGAAACTGAAACTGCCACAGAACAACCCAAGCAAATACTGCAGTTCCAGGAGACCAAAAGGAACCTTTCCCCAAACAGTCCAAGCCTTTTATTTAAAAAAAAAATAAAATCTGGCATGCAATAACTAAAAAGATGAATAATAAATTCATGCCTTCCTTGGTCCAGAATAGTCAGGTCAGGTCCCCGAGTAGCTCAGATGAGGGGTCCCCAACTCCAGGAATTGTCTTTGTTGCAGACTTCAGCTCTCCTTCTTAGAACATAGAGTAACTAAGTTGGAAGGGACCTTGGAGATCTTCCAGTCCAACCCCTTGCTCAAGCAGGAGACCCTATACTATTTCAGACAGGTGGCTGTCCAGTCTCTTCTTAAAAACTTCCAGCGTTGAAGCACCCGCAAGTTCTAGAGAGAAGCTGTTCCACTGGTTAATTGTCCTCCGTGTCAGGAAATTCCTCCTTAGTTCCAGGTTGCTTCTCTCTTTGACAAGCTTCCATCCATCACTTCTCCTGCCTTCGCCTGCTTTGGAGAATAAGTTGATCCCCTTTTCTCTGTGACAAACAAACCCCAGGCTCAGAGATCATCAAGGACCCCCCAGTTCAGCCCTGCAGCAGAAATATTCCCTTCTTTCGAAACCTTTGTTAGGAGGTTTTTGCAAGCAGTCCACGGGAATGTCTTCTCCGGCAAGTTATTTCCATTGTTCCACTTTGGAATGAAGGGAACAGGCTCCACCTCCTTCTTACCCCCATTGAACAACATCTTCCTAGTCCTCTTGAGGCTTCTCAAAGCTGCTCCAGTTCCTTCTAGCAGTCCATCTCCAATCCTTGCTCTCCTCACTGCCTGTCTCCCAACAGACCCCAGCCTCTCTCAGTCCTTGAAGGAGGAGGTCTGGTGCCCGGAACTGGAGAGAGTTAGTCCAGTTTCTGGGCTCTGGTCCATGCAGAATAGAGAGGGTTGCCCGATTCCTGACATCTGGAAATTGCACTCAGGTTGCTGAAGCCTAAAGCTGGTTCTCTCTTCTGGGTCACCTCAGCTTCTTCTTCTCCAAGTGTTTACCCAACTTGGGATTGACCAAAAGGCAACGGTTCTTTTCAGAATCAAGACACATCAGCCGTCTGAGATTCATCAACCTGCCAGCTACGGGAGCAGAGATGCAGAGCAGCAGAGCCAACGTGTCCTACGTGGAATTCACCCTCGTCCCATTCCCAGGACTCCAGGAGCTCCGGCCCTTCCTCGCCATTCCTTTCTTCTGCCTGTTTCTCCTCATTGTGGCCACCAACTGCATCGTGATCTACACGGTGAAGACGGAGGAGAGCCTCCACTCCCCCATGTGCCTGCTCATCGCCTTGCTCTTGACGGTCAACCTCTTTGGGACTTTTGCCATCCTGCCCAGAATGCTCTTCAGCCTGGTGCTCCCCGCCAGCCACATCTCCCTGACCGAATGCCTGGTGCAAATGTTCTTCCTTTACTTCACAATCCTCTTGGACTGCAACGTTCTTCTGATGATGGCTCTAGACCGGTTCCTGGCCATCTGCCACCCACTGCGCTACACAGAACTCATGACCATCAAACTCCTGGGCTTCTTGATGTTCCTCTCCTTGCTGAGAAGTCTTGGTACTGTTGGACCAGTGGTGGCCTTGGCCTCCCAGGTGCGGTTCTGCCGTTCAAACGTCATCAGCCATTTTGCCTGTGAACACATGGCCATCATGAGGTTGTCCTGCAGCGACATCTCCGTGAACAAGAGAGTGGGAATTACCATAAGGTGTTTTGACTTTCTCTTTGACCTCAGCCTCCTCCTGGCTTCCTACAGCCGGATTGTCCACACAGCTCTGAAGATCAACTCTGGCAACGTCCGTCACAAAGTCTTCCACACTTGTGGCACCCACTGGATCGCGATTGCCATTGGCTACTCCTCTCGCCTCTCTTCATCCGTTGTCTTCCGACTTGCCAAATCAGCCTCACAGGATGTCCACAACCTCATCAGCGCAACCTACTTGCTCTTCCCCTGGACTGTCCACCCTTTGATCTACGGTGTGGGAACCAAAGAGATCAGAGCCAGTCTCCTGAAACTCTTCCAGAAAAACAAACTCTCTTGGCTTCCCAAATCTCGGTGAGTTACCCAAAATTGTACAAAAGTGGTTTTTCTTTGGTGTGGTGACAAACAATCCATGACCCTTCCCACAGGGACAGTGGACTTTGACCCGTTTCTAAAATATCTCCAAAATATCTCAAAGTATTTCTATTAAGATGAAACAGAATAAAGTCAGCAATGGTAATTTGCTGAAATGACATTTATTAAATTTATTTGCCACCCCTCTCATTTCAAACGATTCCGTGCTCCTTGCAGCCTAATAAAGATCATTCAATGCCCAGTGCTAGAAGGGGGAGGACTGTGGGGTCCTCGGTGCTCTCTGAGCTTGGATGCTTTTTACAAACATTTCATGACTCAAATGGGGAACTTCATCAGTGCTAGAAGGGAAAGGTGTGTGCAGGGAGGGGAAGGGGGAGAACTGTGGGATCCTCAGTGCTCTCTGAGCTCGGTTGTTTTCTTGCAGACGTTTCATTACCAAACTAGATAACATCATCAGCGCATGGGTCAAACAAGTGCCCTCTCCTCTCTTTTATTTTGTAATGTCTTGCTTTTTGTTTTCAGTCTTCCTGCTCAAGAATATTCTTTCAGGTACGTTTCTTCTCAGACCTGACAAATAGGATTCCAGAGGTGTGGGAGACGGCAGGTCCTTGCCCAGAAGCTCCCTTCTTCCCCCAGGGCTGGCCGGCCCAAGGAGCAGCCTGTTCTTTGCTTTCAGAGGGGAATCTTCCACGGTCTGCGATTACTTACCATCTGGCCCCAAAACCTCTGTTGCTTGTCATACGGACTATTTGAATCCCTCAACTCCTAAACAATGTTGAAAGCAAACTCAAGATTGGACTTTTTAAGCTCCGCTGAATTCTGTGCACCAGTTGCAATATTACAGAATTGGAAGGGAGCTTGGAGGTCTTCTAGTCCAACCTCCTGCCCACGTTGGAGACCCTACACCAAGGGTGTTCAACCTTGGGAACTTTAAGACTTGTGCACTTCAGCTCCCAGAATTGCCCAGCCAGCATGTCTGGCTGGGGAATTCTGGGCGCTGAAGCCCACAAGTCTTAAAATGGCCACAACTGGTCCTATACCATCCCAGGCAAATGGCTGTCCAGTCTCTTCTTCAAAACCTCCAGTGTTGGAGCACCCACAACTTCTGGAGACAAGCCGTTCCATCAATTAATTGTTCTCACTGTCAGGAAATTTCTCCTTAGTTCTACGTTGTTTCTGTCCTTGGTAAGTTTCCATCGCTTGCTTCTTGTCCTGCCTGCTTTGGAAAATAGGTTGAGCCCCCTCTTCTCTCCTCAAATACTGGGAGGCAGCTAGTTCCTCTAGGGCTTCCGCCAAAAGCTAATTCAAAGTGATCTACCAGCGAATGTACGCAAAGGTCTCAAAGACGGCCCTTTAATCCTCCCACTGGAGTCTTTATTGATGTATTCGACAAGCCTCAAGGATTCAGGTGCAGAGTAGCCGAATACAATACAGAGTAGCCGAATACAATAAATAGTCAAAACGGAAGCCGTGGATTTTGTTAGAAAACTACACAATGAAGTCAAGGAACATCCTTTGGTTCAGTCCCAGCAGCCCAGCCTGGCAACTGAGTACAGTCGGGATCTTAACGGAGCAAAGTTTTCCAAGGATTTGTGACAAGGCAGAGAGGAAGAAATTGTCCTAAGAACTGATTTCTTCCCCAAAGAGGGAGCCAGGGAGACATGGAAAAGGGCAAAGGGGCAGGAGACCCTCAGAAGGGGTCCCAGAAAGGAGGAAGGAGGTCAGGCACAAAACGTGATCATCAAGGCAGCTTAGGCTGAACCTGCCTCCCTGGGAGTGAATAAGGAACAGCCCCTCCACAGCTACTCAAGGGCACTTACAGGTTCTGGCTACAGCTGTTGGACCCCCAGTTCTTCCCTTCCCCCTCTCCCTTGACCTAATCCCCCAATCCTACCTTGGCCACTTTGCAAGGGAAGGCCAGTGCAGGATGGTAACCCAATTTCCTGCAGGCACAGCACCATGGCCTGGCAGCCCTGCAGAGTGACCTAGAACTTCCTAACCTAGCTTAGCGGAGGGGGGGCACTGGGGGAGGCGGAAGGAGGCCGAGGGGGCCCAGAGGCTCCTTAAGACCCACACATCAGGCACTCATCCCGGTTCTCCAGGGAGCAGACCATGGCCGCCGTGTTCCTCTCTTTCTCCTCCTCTTCCTTGGAGGTCTTCTCCTTCAGCTTCTCCTTGTTGAGGGTGAACTGGATGGGATTGGCTGCCGGCTTGGTCCGCAGGTAGTACATCCCCGTCTTCAGGCCCTGCGGAGGCAAGTGCGCACCAGCTCAAAGACCCAAGGCCTCGGTCTCCGTGGTGGAGGCATCCAGGCTAGAAAGCAGGACGCCACGAGTTCTAGTCCCACCTGAGGCACGAAAGCCAGCTGGGCAACTTTGGACTCATCACCAGGAGACTGGGAGTTCTAGTCCCGCCTTAGGCACGAAACCTGGTTGGGTGACTGGGTCAATCACCAGGAAACCAGTTCTAGTCCCGCTTTAGGCATGAACGCCGACAGGTTGACTTTGGGCCAATCACCAGGAGACTGGGAGTTCTAGTCCTGCTTTAGGCATGAAAGCTGGCTGGGTGACTTTGAGCCAATCAGGAGGAGACTGGGAGTTCTAGTCCCTCCTTAAGCATGAGAGCCAGCCTGATGGTACCCAGGTTCTGCTGGTTGCTCTTTCTCTCTGAGCTCTCATGACCCAACTAGGGAACAGCATCAATGCTGTTATACAGTTGGTGGAGATGCCTGTTCAGAGTGGGTCAATTAGCTACAGGAGGTGCCCTAAGAATCTGCCTTCCTCTCTCACCTGTTTCCAGCCATAGAAGTGCATACTGGTCAGCTTGCCATAGTTGGGCTCCGCAATGTGGATGTTGAGAGACTGGCTCTGGTCGATGAAGGCCCCCCTGTCAGCCGCCATCTTCAGGATGGTCTTCTGCGAGATCTCCCACACCGTCTTGTAGAGCTGCTTCAAGTCCTCGGGAATCTCTGGGATATTCTGGAAGGAAGAAGAGCAGCAGGATGGATCTCTCTCGGGGCAGTTGAGAGCTGGTGGAAGGTTTGGCTCAAACCAGAGAGAGAGAGAGAGCAGGAAGTCCCAGCAGCCTCTCTGCAGGAAGCCAGGGAGAGAAAACCTGGCACAAAGGGCCTTTTCAGCTGGGCAACCAAGGAGGAATGTCTTCTTTTTTAAAGAATTATTTATTGATTAAATTTATTTATTTATTTATTTATTTATTTATTTATTTCATTTCATTTCATTTCATTTCATTTCATTATTTCATTTCATTTCATTTCATTTCTTTTTTATACCACCCTTCTACCGAAGGACTCAGGGCGGTGTACAGCCATGATAAAAATAATACCAACACAAAAATTAAAAACAATTTAAAATAATTTAAAGCATTGGCCGTATTTAAAACCCCTAGCTAAAACCCCTTTTAAACCTTTAAAACCCACTTAAGTTAATTAATTTGGTCAGGCCAGCTTGCTGAAACAATAAAGTCTTCAGCGCACAACGGAAAATGCGGAGGTCGGGGATCCTCCGTATGTCCAGGGGCAGCTCATTCCATAGGGCAGGAGCCCCCAAAGAGAAGGCTCTCCCCCTGGGGGTCGCCAGCCAACATTGTTTGGCCGACAGCACCCTGAGGAGGCCCTCTCTGTGGGAGCGAATCAGCCGGTGGGAAGCATGAGGTGTCAGAAGGCGGTCCTGTAAGTATCCCGGTCCTAAGGCATGGAGCGCTTTGAAGATGGTGACTAGCACCTTGAAACGCACCCGGAAGACCACTGGGAGCCAGTGCAGCTCGCGCAAGAGAGGTGTTACATGGGAGTGACAGGTCGCCCCCATAACCACTCGCGCGGCCGCAACCCAGTTGGAGCCTCTGGGTGCTCCTCAAGGGGAGCCCCATGTAGCAGCTCTGGGGCGGAGCAGAAAAACGGACGGGGCTCCTCACCAGCGCAGGGGACTCAGGATCGTCGGCCAGACGTACCTGGATGGAGCCGCTGAAGGCGATGATCTGGTTCTTCATCTCCTCGTTCCACAGGCCCCTCTCGGTCAGGTCCTTCAGCAAGTGGGGGTTCACTATCTGCAACCCCAAAACCCCAGCAGTCACCTTAGGTACCTTAGACGCCCCCTTTCGGCCCACCCACGGCCCACGTCCGCTTCCCTTCCCATGTTGCCACGCAGGCCCTTCTCTGATGGAGGCAGCCGGTTTTTGCTGCAGGCAGTCCTTGACTTACAACCATTCTTTAGTGACCATTGAAGGTTTCAACAGAGTTGAAAAAAAGGGACTGGCAACCAGACACAGGATCAAAATTTCTGTGCCTGGCAACCCCCAGGTGTTTTGCAGCTGCAGAACATCCCCAGAGGTCACGGGGTCGTCCTCTGCGGCCTTTCCAGCCGGCTTCCCACAAGAGGTCAATGGGGGTGGGGGGAAGACTGGATACGCTTAACATGATTCACTGAACAACTGCAACGATTCACTTAACAACCGTGTCACAAAAAGGTCAGAAAATCAGGTGCGGTTCACTTAACACAAACACACCCACCCACACTGTTGCTTAGCAATTCTTAGAACTTCTGGCCCAGTTGTGGTCGTAATTCGAGGACTAGCTACATTCTTCCACGCAACAGCCCGGAGCCTCCAAGCCCCAATTACGTGATGGCCGTGTCCTTTATCCTCTTTGCAACACCAGGACCCTCCCCACAGCTCTCGGCCCGGGGCCCCCTCTCCCCCTCCAAGGCTCTCAGGACGGCCCTTACCTGGAACTCCCCCGAGAGAACACGGCGGGTGTAGATGTTGCTGGTGTAGGGCTCCACGGACTCATTGTTCCCCAAAATCTGAGCCGTGGAAGCTGTGGGCATCGGGGCCACCAGGAGGCTATTCCTGACCCCATACCTGGAAGAGACGGGCAGGAGAAACGGGGGGGCTGACAGCGGCCCAGCAGGCACCAAGGGCACCCCAGGAAAGGGGCAGGGGCACAGGGCCTCTGCGCTGAGCACCCACCCTCCGTAGTAGGAGTGGGGAGGAGGGTCTTGTACTCACTGTGCGATTCTGGCCTTCAGAGCGCTCCAGTCCCAAAGGCCCGTGGGGGTCACGTCCCACATGTCGTACTGAAGGATCTGCAGGAGGGTGGGAGGGAGAGCAGCCCCCTTCATTCAGGAACAAGCCAGCTCTCCCACACGCCCCACAGGGAAGCACCCCACCCCCACAGAGCAGGGCTTGCCAAGGCAGGGTGCCTGCACACCCAATTTTCTTGCCCAAGGGAAGCTAAGAGGGAGGGGTCTGCCTGCCTAACTGGACCCTGCAGATTCTCTGGGTTTGAAAAGAAAGATAAAGACGCTCTCCGAGCTCGGCTGTTTTCTTGCAGACATTTCATGACCCAACTAGATTACATCATCAGGGTTGCTGCTGCTGATAGCACTGATAACATTCAGGTCACGAAACATCTGCAAGAAGACAGCCAAGCTCAGAGAGCACCAAGGAACCCCACTGAATCAAGGTTCTTCAGAAATCTGAATTCCGCATCCAAAGCTCACTGATGAAGGAGACACATCAGAGAGACAAAATGCCTCTTTTCAGTGAGACTCCGAGGCAAAGAAGCCCATCAGCTTTAAAAGCAGCCTCCTGCAGCCTCAGACCACCCCAGTCCGAAGCCCCCTTCCACTTACTCCTCTGCTGACCGGGCTGCCCTGGTAGGTCTCGTAGGGCCCGTCTTCCCTGGCGAGCTGGCAGCTGGCCTCCAGGGCCCAGTAGTAGATGGTCTCGAAGATCTGCTGGTTGAGCAGCTGGGCCTCGGGGCTCTCGAAGGGGAACCTCATGAGGATGAAGGCGTCGGCCAGGCCCTGCACCCCAATGCCAATGGGGCGGTGGCGCCTGTTGGAGGTCTCGGCCTGGAAACATTTGGAGGGAGGAAGGAGGAAAGAGCTCAGCCTGCCTCGTCTCAGACAGCTCGTGCGGATCTCCAGTTCATCTCCAGGGTGGGCACTCTCCTAGCCCCTTCCCTTAAATGTTGTCATCTGAGGGGAGCTAGAAAGCCAGTCTCCTCCGTGGCAGCCCCTGCCCCACGGACCACTCTGCCCCCTGACGTCTGGCGGGCCTCCAACCTTTGGGCCTTCCGTGAGGCCTCGAAGACCAGCCCTTCCCCCAAACGCTGGAAGAGGATTAGGGGGTAGTCGGTTGCTCTGGATGTCCACGGAGATTCTCAGTCATCCAGGCCACGGTTGTCCCAAAGGTGCTTTTTTCAAGAGGCAACTGGACTTTCTGGTTTTTCTTTGAAGATGTTTCACTTCCCATCCAGGAAGCTTCCTTCTGCTCTGGTTGGATAGTTCCATTCCCTACCATTCAGTCAGAGCTGAGGAAGCTTCTTGGAGGAGAAGTAAAACATCTCCAACTGAGCCCTGGTAGCGCAGCAGACTAAATCACTGTTATTAATATCTGCTGCTTGCAATTACTGCAAGTTCAAATCCCACCAGGCTCAAGGTTGACTCAGCCTTCCATCCTTTCAAAGGTAGGTAAATTGAGGACCCAGATTGTGGGGGCAATAAGATGACTTTGTATAAAAATATACAAAAGGATGAAGGCTATTGCTTAACGCCTTGTAAGCCGCCCTGAGTCTCCAGAGAAGGGTGGCATATAAATTAAAGCAAATAAATAAAAAATTTCAAAGAAAAACAAGGAAGTCCAGTTGCCTCTTGAAAAAACACCTTTGGGTTACCCTGGATTGGTCCCTGGTTTTTTACTGTTTTAAAGGATTGACTTTTACTTTTTAAATGATTCAATGTTGTTTTTTAATTTTTGATTAGGAGCCACCCAGGGTCGGTTGAAAGATGGGCAGCCCTATAAATGCTTCAGATAAATGGATCTGCCTGAGAATCAACTGGCACCTGGTTTCCCTGCCTCTAGACCGTGGGCACCTCACTTAACGACCGTCACGACTTGCGACCTAGCCTGGGTGCCCCCTCCTGGACCCCATGTACCTCCGGCACCGGGTAGTGGTTGATGTCGATGATCTTATTCAGGTTCCGGACGATGACCTTGGTGACCTCGGCCAGCCTCTGGAAGTCGTATGTGTGCTCCGGCGTCACGTACATGTTCAGGGCTATGGAGGCCAGGTTGCAGACGGCAACCTGGACAGTACAAGCAGAGAGACTCTCACGGGAGGGAACGCCACACGAGCCTCCTCCTCCCCCCTGGAGACCCCCACCACAACGGGAGCCCAGCCCTTGGACCTCCCAGCCTCCAGATTCTTTGGCCCAGGTAGGGGGTCCTACAGTTTATTTCCCTTCATGTGGGTCCACTGAACGGACCCACAGGACTCTTGCCAAACTATGTTGGTCAATGGCCAGCTCCTCAAGGAACTTAAAGGACTGTGGGAAGAGGAGGGGACTTTCTCAAAGGAAGGCTTTCCCCACTCATAGCTGCTGGCCGCACACTCAGGGGCAGCTTTGTGATAAGAGTGTCCTAAGATCCCTTTCTGGGTGCCTGGACACCCTTCTGGGCTTGGCTGAAAAGGACAGGGGAGGGGAGGAAGGAGAGGAGGGGAGGGGAGGAAGGACAAGGAAAAGGAGGTGAGGAAAGAGCAGGGCTGGAGGGAAAGAAGTGGAAGTGGAGAGGACAGGAGGAGGAGGAGGAGAAGGAGGAAGAGGAGGAGGAGGAGGAGGCAGCAGCCCACCTCATCATTGCTGGTGTACTCCACAATCTCGGTGCAGAGGTTGCTGCACTTGATGGTGCCCAGGTTCTGCTGGTTGCTCTTCCGGTTGCAGGAGTCCTTGTAGAGCATGTAGGGTGTCCCCGTCTCCGTCTGAGACTCAATGATGGCGTACCAGAGCTGCTGGGCCTTCACCACTTTGCGCACCCGGCCTTGCTTCTCGTAGCTGGGGGGACAAGCGCAGGGCTTCCAGGACCTCCACCTCAGCCCAAACACACAACCGGCTCCCCAGCGAGAGCGAAGGGTGTGCTGAGGACCTTTGCCAGATGGGCTTCCAGGCCCATTTCAAGCAGTTGTAAGAAGCCTCACTCAGCTACTGGCTACTAATGGACTTCACTGGTTTGATGTCCTTATTGTCCAACTTCTGCTCCACCACAGCCAAGTAACTCTCAGCTGCTTATCCAGAAAACAGGAGAGTTGAACCCTTCTGGGAGCACCCGCTCCCAACACAAAGACCCACCTTCCACTCAAGCCCACCGGTCAGGTCCCTCAATCACCTCTGGCATGGGGATAACTACCAATCCCACCCACCTCCACGAAATGCAAATCCTCAGCCCCCCCCCAAGAGCTTCCTCCGTAGTGGCCCTGCAGCCCGGGGTCCCCCCTGCTGGATGGAACCCCTGGGAGACCCCGAAGGACAGGGGAGAAAGCTTTACGGATGTCCTCCAGAACTTGAGGACTTCTTCAGGCAATCCCACCGTCTCTTCTTCCACACAGAATCCTTTCTTTTTGGGTTAAGTAACCGTTTGGCATTTTATTGCTGCATTTGTTGAAGTACCTCTGGGTAGCTTCTCAGCACAGAGGACTTTACAAATATGGTTACGTTTAATTTCATCAAACACCATCGTGGCTTCCTTGGCAAATCCTTGGTGTGAGGTTGATGAACCTGTTAATTTTCTGATGCAAATGCATCCCAAAACATCCTGCAGAAACCCTGCCGGTTCCATTTTGCACCTCCCAACCCAGCCGGTTCTTCCTACCTTTCGTAGAGCCGCTCAAACTCTTCTCCCCAGACCTCATCCAGCCCGGGACATTCGTTTGGGCACATCAGGGACCAGTCCTGTTGAAGGAGGGGCAAAGCTCAACTCCAGTGGGTTGGAGACCCCACCCAGAAGAGACTCGCCCTACGAGACCCTCCTGCTGCAGCCCAGGGGACCCTCCTGCCCTCGAGGAAGGCAAAGGGTGAAGGGCCCACATCCAATTGTTCTCCCTGTCAGGAAATTTCTCCTAATTTCCAGGCTGGCTCTCCCTCTGGCCAGCTTCTCGTCCTGGGTGAGTGGGTGGGCCGACAGTGAAGGACTAGCCCAGTCACCAAGCTGGCTTTCATGCCCAAAACGGAGCTACCACCCACCCGATTTTATTACCTTTTGTGCAGCAGTCATTAAGTGAACACCAAGATCCTAAAACAAACCCATTGTTCGCTATGGGATGTTTTTGCTGAAAGAGTGCAAGATGAATTCTCTTCATGCAAGGGTGCATTCTCTACATGCACCCTGTGAATGTGGGCAGCTGCTCAGCACCTGGCATGCAGCCCTGTGACCGTGAGGGAGGGGCTACCAGAACCAGATTGTGAGAACTTTGGGGCGGGGACAGCAGAACTTCAGACAGTCGCTAATCAACCAGTCGTACGCTTTTCTTCTGCAGATTAACCTTAATGTGTTAATAACAACCTTCAACAGACGTTCATGAAAGGCAGAGCATCTGGTTCAATTCAAGATGAGCCCACCTTCTAGGCCACAAATGTCAGGGTTCAGTTTTGCTCTACGGCCAGCTTCAGGCCATGGAGGGCCCTCACCTCCCCCACCTCCCCCGCCCCCCAAGCAGAGGACTCAGCTGCAATCCCTGTTACCTGGTTGGTCTCCACCCGTTTCATGAAGAGGTCCGGGATCCAGAGCGCGTAGAAAAGGTCCCGAGCCCTCTGCTCCTCCTTCCCGGTGTTCTTCTTCAAGTCAAGAAACTCAAAGATGTCAAAGTGCCAGGGCTCCAGGTAGATGGCGAAGGCCCCGGGTCTCTGTGGGAAAGAACAGGACAAAACCCCCTTCAGCCCACCTCGGCCCTGGCTGCCTTTCTGAGGCCTCTTTCCAAACCCTCAGATCTGCCAGCCTTGGAGGTCTTCTAGTCCAGCCCCTGCTCAAGCAGGAGACAACTGCCTGTCCAGTCTCTTCTTAAAAGCCTCCAGTGTTGGAGCACCCAGAACTTCTGGTGGCAAGCCGTTCCACTGGTTAATTGTTCTCACTGTCAGGAAGTTTCTCCTTAGTTCTAGGTTGCTTCTCTACTTGATCAGACTCTATCCGTTGCTTCTTGTCCTGCCTTCTAGTGCTTTTGGAGAATAATTTGACTCCCTCTTCTTTGTGGCAGCCCCTCAAATATTGGAAGACTGCTATCATGTCACCCCTAGTCTTTCTTTTCATTAAACTAACCATGCCCAGTTCCTGAAACCGCTTCTACATATGTTTTAGCCTCCAGCCCCCTAATCCTCTTTGTTGCTCTTCTCTGGGTGCTGGATGAAGTGACATCCTCACCCTGGCCAGAGAAAAGCCCTTCCTTTAAAGCAGGGGTCTCCAACCTTGGCAACTAATAAGACTTGTGAAGTTCAACTCCCAGAATTCCTCAGTCAGCTATAGCTGAGGAATTCTGGGAGTTGAAGTCCACAAGTCTTAAAGTTGCCAAGGTTGGCTTTAAACTATGCTTGAGAAGGAGACCCTGGCACAGTCACCTCCCGTATGTGTCCTTGACCACACATGCCACCGCCAGCGCCCTTGGGAGAAGGCCGCCTACCTTATTTCCCCCTTGGTCCACGTAGCGAGCCGTGTTGTTGTAGACCCTCAACATGGGGACCAGCCCGTTGGAGTTGCCATTGGTCTGAAAAATTAACAAGATTGGAGAGAGTGAACTAGATCCATCTGCGCTGCTCCTTAGCCAGGGAGAAAGGCTCCCTCAGAGGCAGCGTCAGTTGCCATCCTGAGCATCCCTTGGGGGCCCACAGGAATTCGCGTGGGCTGCCCACGGCAGACACACCCCGGCAATGTAGCTGCCGGTGGCCCGGATGCAGCTCACGGCCACCCCGATTCCCCCCGCGGACTTGGAGATGAGTGCGCAGTGCTTCAGTGTGTCGTAGATGCCCTCAATGCTGTCGTCCTTCATGCACAGGAGGAAGCAGCTGGAAGGGAAGAAAAGGCAGATTTTCAGTCTCCGGTATGGCAAGGTTGCCTCCAAACCCAGGCAGAACTCTGAGCCCTGGATGTTTTTTCCCAGCAAGAGGGAGGACTCCCACCCTGAGTCCACTAGGAGAAGGGCGGGATACAAATTGAATAAATAAAATAAATAAAAGAGGGCTGCGCTTCCAAACCCAAATCTAACTGCTAAGGCAATCTTGGCAGTTTGTTTGTTTGTATGCCAAGACAACCGGACACAGGGACGGTGTCTTCCCTTGTGCCATCACTCACTCTCACAGCAGATAAAATACAATGACTGCTAAGTGTTTTGTCTAATATGTATGTGTATTAAACCCACAGGGCATTGCTGCAGGATTTTTACCCCTTTTATTAATATTTTTTGCTTCCATCTTCTATTGGCTGTATGCTTTATCATTATTATTGTATTCTGTTGCTTTCAAGTACACTGAGAGCTTCTGTACCGGAGAAATTCCTTGTATATCTAACCACACTTGGACAGATAAAGTATTATGTCTATTTTTGCAATTAAGGCCTTTCCTAATCAAACTAACTTTGATAAATTTCCCAAGGCCACAATTACAAGTTATCTTGACCTTTACAAGTGATTGCAGATTACAAGAGCCCTGGTGGCCCAGTGGTTAAGACTGCAGGATGGAAGGCTGACTCTGCCCACTGCCACCAGTTTGATCCTGACTGGCTCAAGGTTGACTCAGCCTTCCATCCTTCTGAGGTCAGTAAAATAAGGATCCAGATTGTTGGGGGCAACAAGCTGACTCTGTAAAACGCTTAGAGGGGGCTATAAAGCACTATGAAGCGGTATATAAGTCTAAGCACTAGTGTTAAGTGCTATTGCAACAGGACCCAAGGCAATCACTGAAAAAGTCCTTCAAACTTTCTTCACTGCTGTTCTCAAGATGCTGGAATCGGATTACAATCCCCAAATACGGGTGTGCCCACATGAGCAGCAGAAGGAAGGGAGCTACTGCCACACACACCTGAAGAGTAGGTGGGGGGAGTCTCTAAGCCGCCGGAAGCAGCCCCCAGTTTCTTTGACCTTCCAAGCTGCTTGGCTTCAGCAGCTCCTCCCCCAATACTCAGACAGCCATTCCCCCTCCTTACCTGGAGAGCTGAGGGCGGTTGGTGCCGGCGTTGAAGAGGGTGGGGGAAGCATGGGTGAACCACTTCTCGGACAGGAGGTTGTAGGTCTCAATGGCCGCCTCGATGTCGTTCTTGTGGATCCCCACCGAGACCCTCATCAGCATGTGCTGGGGACGCTCGGCCACTGCAGGCAGGGGGGCAGAGAAGGGAGACGGCTTTCAAGGGAGGCAGAGAGACGTTGCAACAGTTACATACTTGGTTAGGTGGGAGAGACCTGTCCCCACACTTACAGGTAGTCCATGGGTTACAACTGCTTGCTTAGTGACTGTCCAAAGTTACAACGGAGCCCCCAGAAGGTACTTATGATCCAGTTCCAAAGTTCCAAGGACACACACCCTGCAGTCACGTTGTTACCACATTTGTGGCACTCGGCAACCAGGCCCAATTTACAGCTGTTTACAAATCCCACGACCACAATTTGTGATGTTTTTGCTGCAAACCAGCGCTTACTTCTGGATTTGGGCAAAAATGCCCCGTAGTGAACAATGGATTCATTTAATGACTGTGAAGTTCACTTAATGACCGTTGTGATTTATTTAACCACCACTCCACACAAAAAGATCCTAAAATCAGGTTGGTCACATGTTGACCCACTTTACAACTGTTGCGACTTACAACCTGAATGGGCAGATCCCATTATGGTCGTAAGTTGAGGACTGGTTGCATTTCACCTGATTTGGATGCCTTTTGAGGCCACAGATAAGAAAACCGATAGCAAAACTGCTGAGGATACCCAAAAAAAAAAAAAAACCCAACCCAACCACACCCCTCTATCAAGAAAAACCAGGTTAGAAGAGTGAGTGATGGGGTCAGGTGAGCCTCTGGGGCAGCCAAGTTAAAGGGACCCTTTGGAGCTGCCCAGAAGAGCCACAGAAGACAGCTTCCCGAAGGGCAGTGAGGTTCCTCCTCGGAAGAGGCTGAGGCCTGACCAGGGAATAAGGACAAAACATTCGTATGAGTCTGCTTGAGGAGGGTCCTTAAACGGCCCCTGCCTAAATGGAGGCTAAAACATAGAATGGAACGGTTGCAGGACCTGGGCTGGCTAGTCTAGTGGGGAGACATGATAGCATCTTTCAATATCTGAGGGGCTGCCCCAGAGAGGAGGAAGGGGGTCAAGCTATTTTCCAGGGCACCTGAAGGCCAGACAAGGAATAATGGATGGAAACTGACTAAGGAGAGATTCAACCTGGAAATAAGGAGGAATCTCCTGACAGTGAGAACCATCAACCAACGGAACAGAAGTTGCGTTTAGAAGTTGTGGGAGTTTCATCACTGGAGGCTTTCAGGAAGAGATTGGACTGCCATCTGTCAGAAATGGTGTAGGGTCTCCTGCTTGGGCGGGGGGTTGGACTAAATGACTTACAAGGTCCCTTCTGACTCTGTTATTCTGTAACGAGTTTAAAACCTGGTATTATCAATACTTGGAGCCCTTGATTTACCACAATTTATTCATTGACTATTCAAAGTTGCAATAGCACTGAAAAAAGTGACTTACGACTGGTACTCATCCTTATGACTGTTGTAGCATCCCCACAAGTTGCACGATTTAAATTTGAGAGCTTGCCCCCCCCCCCGCATGTACTTGTAGGGCCTGGGGGGTCAGGGGTCACCGTGATTGACCTTCCCAGCCAGCCTCTGACAGGCAGTCAACGGGGGAAGCCAGATTCGCTTAACAACCACATGCCTAGCTTAACAACTGCAGTGATTCCAATGACTATGGCCAAAATAAGTATTGAAATCGGGTGTGTCTCACTTAACAATCCCTTCCTTAGCAACAGATATTCTGTCCCCAATTGTGGTTATACGTCAAGGACTACCTTCCCGAGTGATGCATCCACCCGGTTGGGAGGAGAGCTGGGCTAGCCCGTTTCAGAGAATTTCAGAAGCTCAGCGGAACCTTTTTCAGATGTTACGAAAAGGCAGAAAGTCTCATGAATTGCAGTTCAGCAGAGGCGTAAAATGGCCAACCGGGAAGAGTCAGCGGGGGAGGCAGGTTGGCTACGAGGGTCCCACTGCTACCTAGTCAAATAGGCAGGTAGGTCAAAATGGCGCATGGAAAGCCCATCGTGGTTTTGAAACCTTCTGAAATGGCCAGAAACCTTTTGAGGAATCAGAGTTCAACAATTTCTCGCTTGGTGGTTTCCTGGAAGAGTCACTTTGATGTCTGGCAGGTCCAAAAGGTGCTGCCCCACTCTTGATTCTTTTGCCAGGTTTTATCAAAAGTTCAAAAAAGTTAAGAACCTTTGTACAAAGAATTGAGCCCATTGTACAAACCTTTAGAATTGATTTTCAGAAGATAGGAGCGCTCCAGGGTCTGAAAGGTTTTTAAAAAAATCAGGGTCACCAAGGGACAATGAAATAATACAACCATTTATCACCAACAACATACTTTAAATTTATTGCCATCCCCCAAATGTGCCTGCAATAATTGCCCCACATCCTCCGCCCACCCACCCACCCACCTCCCGGTGGCCTGGACCCAGCAGAGCCCAAAAGGAGGCAGCTTCAAAAGTCTGCTTAAGGCACCCGGCAGCCCTGTGCTCTTCCTCGGCCTAGAAAAGCCCTTTCCAGATGCATTTCCTCAACTGTCCCCCACAAAAAACCACCCTTGTTTTCTAGCAAGGATGGACGGCTGCATAAATGGTTACATGAACCGCCCTGTTGACTGGTACATCAACAATGGTGACCAGTGACCAGTAAGTAACTGGGACCATCAACCTCGATTCTACTGTATTTATTCTGTTTAGAAGGTAAAAGAAAGAAAAAAAAGGAAGGAAGGAAGGAAAGGAGAAAGTAAAAGAAGGAAGGGAGGGAGGGAGGGAGGGAGGAAGGAATCCTTTAAACACAAGGAAAATTTTCCTGATGGTAAAACCGGCAAGAAAAAAAAGTGTCTCCCTAGAGAGGTTGTGAGTTCTCCACCTTTGGAGGTTTTGAAGAAGAGGCTAGATAATCTCTGGTTACGGAGGGTTTCCTGCATGTTACATAGAGTTGGACTACATGAACTTCAGGCTTCCCTCTACAACTCCATGATTCTTCCAACTATCCCCTCTCTAGGCTAGAAAGCGGGAGATCATGAGTTCAAGGCCCACCTGAAAGCCAGATGGGTGAATTTAGGCCAGTCCCTCTCTCTCAGCCCAACTCACCTGAGTTGTTGTTTTGGAGTTGAAATGTGGAAAAGGCAGGAGTATTGTGTATTTTCACTCCCTTGAGTTATTTGTAAACATAACAGAAGACAGGATACAAGTAAGTAAATAAATAGATAAACTTCCACCTTACCTTAAAGCCAAAGTAATTGTAGGAGAAATCCCGATCATAGATTATTGCAGAGTTCAGTCGCTGCAGAAAAAACAACAGGATATCAGATTTGACATTGAGACCGTTTGACCCTCAGCCAGCCTGAGCTCAAATATGCAGCAATCTTGTTCATAAATACGCTAAAATGCAAAGGGTCGTGTCTGGGGAACCTAATCTGACTTCCGAGTGGCTTTTGATCATCTCTGAGTGGGAGAATGCCTCCTGGCTTCAAGGCTTTGTGTCGCTGCTCTCAGAGCATTTGCCAGGCCAAGCAAACAAATGAAGACCCCTTAAGGAGCCCAGAGCCTGTCTGGTGCCAGGACTGGACACAAGGCCTTGCCAGAAGAGCAACATGCTGTGCTCGTCACAGAGGAAATGTCAGGGTCTCAAAAAAGAGGCACCAACCCCAAAGACCATGGCAAGATTCCTTCTGTCCCATCTCAAGACTAGAATCCCTCAGCACTAGAACATGTTTCTCCAACAGAAGCAAATACTCATAGCTCATGGTTGAACTGGGGGGTCGTTGGTGCTCTCTGAGCTGGGATGCTTTCCTGCAGACCCAACTAGGGAACATCATCAGTGCTAGAAGGGAGTGGGGTTTGTGGGGAGGAGGAGTGGGCGTGGGAGGAGAGCTGTGGAGTCCTTGCTGGTCTCTGAGCTTGACTGTTTTCTTGCAGACATTTTCATGACCCAACTAGGGAACATCATCAGTGCTAGGAGGGAGTGGGGGTTGCTCTCTCAACAGCCTAAGCAAAGAACCACCAAGGACACTCCCACCAACACTGACAGGGCAAGCCCATGTATCTAAACACAGAGCAACCCCCCCTCCTCTTCTGGCAATGATGTTCCCTCGTTGAGTCATGAAACGTCTGCAAGAAAGCCACCCAGCTCGGAGAGCCCCAGGGACCCCACCTTTGTCTCCACCTGCCCAAAAGAAGTTTCATTCAATCAGCACATACATCCTTGTTGGCTTGTACAATGTCCAGGGTTTCTTTGGAGATCATGGGCGAATGCTTGCTGTTGTGTGGATTCACGTAGTTGTAGAGGTCTTCCATCACATCTGAAAGCAACAAAGGCACAACGGATCACAGCAGGGCCATATTAGCCGTGGCAGAAGGAAGACAAACCTATATGGCGGTTCAGATGCAAAGGATCCGTTTTCTACTTATCCATCTTTCTGTTCAGAGCCAATCAGCATTCAGAGTAATTCACTTCTTCCTGAATATAGGTAGTCCTCAAGATACGACTGGTTGCTTAGCAAACATTCAAAACCACAGCAAGGAGCTAGAATAATTTTCCACAAAATTGCCTTCTCAGTGATGGCACCGGTCAGGTTAGAAAAGGCCAGCTGATCCCTTGTTTTGGCAAGTGGGCAGAGACTGCTTCATTGCAGCACACCTCTTAGTGTCTCTTAAGAGTATCTTCAATGACCTATGAATCTTTGCATCAATTATTATTTTATTGCATACTTTTAGCTTCTTATAGTATAGCTACTCCTCGACTTACAACAGTTCACTTAGTGACCGTTCAAAGTTACAACAGCCGTGAAAAAAGTGACTTAAAACCGTTTTTCACACTTACGACCGTTGCAGCATCCCCACGGTCAGGTGATGGAAATTAAACTATAGTGACAACGTAGTGTCCCCACCCCTCCCTGCAAGCACTCACCGCTAAAGACTTTCTTCGTTTCTTTGTGCAGGTTGGAGACTGCGATGCGTGCGGCCAGGATGGCATAGTCGGGGTACTTGGTTGTGAGAGTGGCTGCCGTCTCAGCCGCCAGTGTGTCCAGTTCGACCGTGGTCACCCCACTGTACAGACCCTGGATCACCTTCATGGTGATTTGAGCCTGGCCAAAACAAAAGAACTCTTATTCATGGCAAACTCATTTCCTAGCAGGTAGCCTTTTTACAGCCTACAAGATCTTTCCTCTGTAGCCACCCTGGAGCAGAGAGCAGGGATCCACGACTCACAACTCTTCATTTAACTCTTCATTTAGGGCATTATAAATGCCCTAAACAAAAGCGACTTATGACCGGCCCTCAAACTTACAACCGTAGCCACATCCCCATGGTCACATGATCAAAATTCATCTATTTCTCTTCCTATCATCCGTTTCAGTATCTCTATCTCTATCATCTATTTCTCTATCCGCCTACATACCTAATTATGGTTTTTAATGTCAGACTCACCTGTGTCCAAGCTGGGCAGCCATATGCATTTGTCAAATAAATAAAAGGCTGAGTAGCGATTAAACCCATGAACTAATGAGGGAATGGTTTCACACCTATAAAGGTATCCTTCATCCCCTCCTCCCCCCCAGCTGATCCAAGACACACCAGAAGTCCATCTAAATAAGAAATAATCAGACAGACTCTGGTGACAAACTAATCCCCTCATCTCAGTATTATTAATACCAGTGTTTTATCTAGGATAAATCTAGGAAATCTAGGATAGGGAAATATTTGTGAGGGGAGGTTTAATTTTTTATTTATTTATTTCATTTCTATGCCACCCATCTCTCTGTCAAGAGAGTCAGGGCTCCCCTTGCTTTCCTGCCAGGCCTCGCAGGAGCCCCCCTCGGGCGTCCTTGCAGCAGCCTCTTCTCCGCAAGGGCAGAGCTCAAAGAGGAGTTCCCACACGGGGAGGCCGAAAAGAAACTCACGGGGTCCACAAAATCCAAATTGAGGCCGTAGCAGAGCTTCTGGATCCGGGAGGTGATCTTGTCGAACATAACCCGCTCATGGCGGCCATCTGCCAGGGAGGAAAGCAACAGGCGTTAAATTGTTAAATTTAAATTAAATTGTTAAATTGGAGTCAAAAGGGGAGTTGAGGCAGAAGAACAGACAGGGGGGCGGGGGGAGGACCTCGAATCTGCACCACATTCCCTTGTTCATAATGGCTGAGGGGGGGCTGAACAGGAGGAGGCCACACACCTGCCCCCTCCCACTCTTTGGGGACAAGCTCTCCCCCCCCTTTTCAGGAGTTACAGGAACTCTTAAGGCCAACAGACCTGGATGGGCCATCTCAAGCCCTCCCCCTTGGCTCTGCTGGACAGGCTGAAGTCTGTCTGGTCAAGCCTTTCTCTCTTCTAGGAGTTTCTGGGGGGCTGAATTTAGGGAAGGGCTTGGGGCCTGGGGGGGCCTTGAGACAGAGGAGGAGGGGGATCGTTCCTCCTCCCTCCATTGGACTTTCCTGTTCCCACCCAGGAGACCCCCGTGATGCCCCCCTCAAGCCCTGCCCCCCCCCCATCTGGAGGACCTCGGCCCACCTCGTCAAGCCTTGACCTCTGGGGGGGGGGGTGGAGGTCTGCCCGAGGGAGATGCAGCCCCCTCAATTCAGGGGTCTCCATCCCAATCGATCAATGAAGGGCCGTCCCTGTCCTATTGTTCCCTTTAATTGCACTCATTTTATGTATTCAATTCATGCTTATACTTATATATATTATCTAATATGTACTCGACAAAATAAATAATAAATAAATTCGGTGGGGGAGGAGCTGCCTCAGGGGGCCTTGGGGCAGAGCGGGAGGGGCCCTTCCTTGCACTTGGGGCTGCCCCCCCTTCGAGGGTCCCAGAAGAGACCCTGGGATGCCCCCCCGTGCCCTCCCCCACCTAAAGCGCCTGGGCCCTGCTAGGCAGGCCGAAGCCCGTCCGGTGAAGCCTTTCGCTCTTCCAGGGGCTTCGGGGGAGATGCAGCCCCCTCAATTCACGGGGGGGGGGGTTAAGGCCCGGGGGGGCTACCGGGAGGGCCGTGGGGGTGCAGGCCTGGCTTTGGGGGAGAAAGAAAAGGTGGGGGGGAGAAAGAGACCCATATCTTGCCAGGCACGAGGGGGCTCCCTAAAAGCCCGTTTTGGGGGACCCCACCCCCCCTCGCAGGGCTGGTGCCCCCCAGCCTTAAAAGTACCAAGGGGGGGGGGGAATTCGCTACCCCACGAAGTCTGGGATGGGGAGGCCGGGACCCCCAACCCAAGGGACCCGCTGGGGGACTACAAAGCCCATCGCCCTCCAACCATCGAGTGCCCGGGACCGTCGGGTGTGGGGCGGCGTCCGCGGGGGGACCGGGGCTGCCCACCTCGCTTGACGACGTGCATGGTGCCGGGCCGGACGAGGAGCTCCGCCGCCGCCTCAGCCGCCTCAGCCGATCGCCCGCCAGACGCTTTCCCGCCAGCGCGGCGGCCCCGCCCCGCCTGACGCCGACGCCGCCATCTTGGACGCGGGCCCGGCCGCCCCAACGGCAGAGTTTGCCCCGCACAAAGATGGCGGCTGACGGGGCGCCGCCTTCCGGACTTGCGCGTGCGCAGCGCCGGCCTGGAAGCCTCGTCGAGCCCGGCGGGGAAGGCGGGAAAGAGGCGCCCGCCTTGCTGCTTCTCCAACATAGCGCCACCTGCAGGGCACCCCGGGCAGCGCCCCGACCTTTTCTCCGGACCGCTTTCCCCCAGCCAGGACCCCGCAGCAGCCCTGGAAGCGGCTCCCCACCTTCAGGATGCGAAGGGCTGCTGGCAGAGCCCCTTTCCGCTCCCTCCGGCTGCCCTGCCCACAACCGCCAGCCTAACTTCTTCCGTGGCAGAGTCTCCGAGACCACCTCAAACCCGCTGAGCGGCACAACCCCCAGCAATGGGGCCACAGGAGGAGCCCCCTCCCCCCCAGAGCAGTGAAAATCTATCAGGGCAACCGACACACGGCAGAGGGTGGGGGGCTGTAGTCGGGTGGGGGATCCCTCCAGAGAAAGGCGTCCAGTATCAACCAGCCTAGGGCTGGAAGGGACCTGGGAGGTCTTCTAGTCCAACCCCCTGCTCAAGCAGGAGACCCCACAAGGAAAGGCAGGCCCCGAGTTCACCAGGTGAGAAGAAGACTGTGGGGAAGGGGTCTGGAAAGGCCCTCCTGGGGGGAGCTTGTGGGGTCGGCAGGCGTCCTTGGAAGGAGTGGCCGCTCCAGTAACCCCGTCCTGGGCCATCCAGGGCTTGAAAGGAGTAACCAGGAGTAACTTTTCTTTTATGCACACTGAGAGCCTATGCACCAAAGACAAATTCTTTGTGTGTCCAATCGCCCTTGGCCAATAAAAAATCCTATTCTATTCTATTCTATTCTATTCTATTCTATTCTATTCTATTCTACCAGCATCCTCAATCACACCGGGAACCTCTTGGGAGCCAGGGCAGCTGGCTGAACAGCGGGTTATGTTGGCACAATGAGCCATGCCATACCTGCCCTGATGGCTGCATTCTGGGTGGTTGTTGGGGGCAGCCCCACAGGCAGGGCAGGGTAATGAAAGGCAGGAGTGAGCCTCCATGACCAGGCTAGAAATGGGGGCCACTGACATGTGGGTCGCTGATGCTCGCTGAGCTTGGCTGTTTTCCTATCTTGTCAGTGCTAGAAGGGAGGGGGTTTTGTAGGGGGGAGGCGGAGGAGAAGTGTGTTTCATGACCCAGCTAGGGAACATCATCAGTGCTAGAAGGGAGGGGGCTTTGCTCTCTGTTCCTGTACAAGTGACTTGTCCTGTCGGTGTTGGAGGGAGCCTTGTTTTCTCCTTAGTGGTTCCTGGAGGAGCTGCTGGGGTGGGGGGCGAGGGGGGGCGTTAGAGTTAAGGAATTCATGTCTGAAGCTCCTTTTCGGTCTTGTGCAACAAAAGCAGCGCCTTCCCCCCAATTCCACGCGCGGACTTTGCGTCCCCCGCGCAGCCTCCGCCGTCGGTTCTGGGGCTGCAAAAGCCCCTTCCAGGCCAGCAAAGAGCCCAGGCGCCCCAGAAGCGGCTCTCTTGCTCCGAGCTGCGCTCTAGGGCGGACAGCGATTTCTCGAAAGCCCCCCGGTTGGCCCTCCCCCCTAGCCCGGATGCGGAGGGCCGCTCCCCCCCCTCCCGGGCTTTGCCCCTGCTGGCCCCGGGGAAGCCGCTCCTCCAGCCCCGAGGTGAAGAGAAGAGAGCCGGAAGGGGCCCGGGAGGTCTTCTAGTCCAGCCCCTGCTCAAGCAGGAGAAGCGAAAGCAGTTCCGAGAAGGGGCTGTCGAGGCTCTTCTGAAAAGCCTCCGGTGATGGAGCCCCGGCCGGTCCAGGCATCCCGGGAACCGGCGCGGAAGACCCCGCGCGCGTCTTGCAACCTCCCCGCGGGAGAGGCGGCGGGCGGGGCGGGCAGAGCCAGCCTGGGCGGGCCAGGTGAGCGGCGGGTGCGGCCAGGTGCGTTGCCGGCCGGCCTCCCTGGCCCCGCCTCGCCCGCCTGGCTGGCTGGAGTGCCGGAACTGGAGCGAGTCGGCGGTGCCTGATGGAGCCTCCGGTGGCTCCTGCCGCCGCCAGCCCGGTGAGTCCTGGGTGGGGGAGGGGCTGAGCCTACCCCGCAGGGGGGTTGTTGGGGCAGCCCGGCGGCTCAGCCCTTCCGCCTGCAGTGGTGGCTGCGGGGGGCCCGGAGAGCGGCAGCCTTTCGCCCAGCCGCGGCGGGGCAGCTCAGCCCCTGGCAGATGGGGAAGGCTCCGAGCCGGGCTGGGCCCGATGCTGCTGCCGGGAGGGGAGTCGCCCGGTGGGCTCGTTGTTGGGAAGAGCCGGCGGGCAGGTGGGTCCCGGCACTTCAAGGAGAGCCACGGCGGCTGAGCAGGTTGCTCCGAGGGGCCCCGCTGGGAAAAGGGAAGAAGGAAGGAGAGTGATTCCCTCCCCCTCCCCACCCTGGACTGGCCCCCGAATTCCAACGACAGGACTCGCTCTCTGCATTGCCCAGCCAGAGGAATCCGCTCCTTTCTTAAGCAGGGGGTTGGACTAGAAGACCTCCAAGGGCCCCTCCGACTCTTACTCTGTAATTCGGGAGCCTTTAAAAAAATTGCAGAACCTGCTATTCTTCAGTCAGGTGGCCAGGAGAGGGTCTCCGCTTGGGAGGGCTCTGGGCAATGACCTTTCCGAGGTCATCAGGCAGGCGTGTCCGACCGACCGGGGACAGCTACCTAATGCAGCCCTCAAGATTGCAAACTTTTCAGATTATTATGTGATTTATATACATTTACTATGTTGTATATTTTGTGTGTGGCCCAAGCCAGTTCCTCCTCACTCAACGCAGCCCAAAGGTTGGACCCCCGTGTTATAATCCATGCATTTTACTTTGGTTATTAATTTCGGTGTTTGCTTCTTTTTTTTTTTCTGTTAAGAAAATGGATGTTCAAAGCCCTTTGCCAGAGAAAGACACTTTTTCTTCTGCCCCAAAGCAAAACTGGGACCCACAGCCAAGGAACAGGGTCACTGGGGGGGGGAGGCAGTTTGGGCTGATGGGTTCCCAGGGGGAGGGGGGAGGGGGTTAGGCCAAGGCCTCAGTTGGAGTTGCAAGAGCTGCATTCAAAACCATCCAGATTAAAATCCTTTTAGAAGGCTCGAGACCTTCAGGAGAAATTGGGCTTCTGCTCTTCTAGCTTTTAAAATATGGGTAGTCCTCAATTTATGATCACAACTGAGCCAAACTTGCTAAGTGAGAAAGTGAGTTTTGCCCCATTTTACAACCTTTCTTGCCACAGTTGCTAAGTGAATCATTGCATTTGTTAAATTAGTAACCCGGTTGTTAAGTGAATCCGGCTTCCCCACTGACTTTGCTTATCAGAAGACCACAAAAAGGGATCACGTGACCCCAGGACTCTGCAACCGTCATAAATCTGAGTCCGTTGCCAAACATGCTCCATCCCCATAGCTTTGGGGAATCCTTCTCTTGCCCATTCTGAGGTGCCACTGATGGGCAGCCCCTGGGGGTCTCCCTCCTGCACCAGCAACAGCCCGGAGGGTCCCGTCCTGTGGGGCTGAGAGAGGCGCAGGGAAGGGAGCCTGGGGGGTTTGGGTCAGGGCCAAAGAAAGGAGAACAAGGCCGGGCTCAGAGATTTTGGAGTTCTCCTGAGAGGTAGTCCTCGACTTACAACCATTCGTTTAGCAACTGTTCAAAGTTACAAAGGCACTGGGGAAAGTAACTTACAGCTGGTCCTCGCACTTATGACCAAAATTCGAGCGTTTGGCCACTGGCGTGGATTTAGGATGGCTGCAGCGTCCCAGGGTCAAGTGACCCCCGAACAACTTTCCCAACAAGCTTCTCATAACAACTGCAGTGCTTCGCTTAACAACCGTGTCAAAAAAGTGTCATAAAATAAGGCACGGCTCCCTTAACAACGGCCTTATTTAGCAGTGGAAATTCTGGTCCCAGCTGTGGCCATAAGTCAAGGACTGCCGGAATTGACCCCCCCCCTCTGCTTGGCCACCGGTTTGTCCTGCGTCTTTGGCGGCCTCCGCCTGAAGGAAGCCGGTGAGTGACCAGCTGGCCAGTGGGTGCCGTGAAAGACATTTGAGGCCTTCGAGAAAGAGCGGGTGGGATGTGACTCCTGCCTTGGGCAGGGGGTTGGACTAGAGGACCTCCAAGGTCCCTTCCAGCCCTAGGATTCAGTGTGTGTGAAGGGGAGGAGAAAGTTTTGTCTGGGGCACTTCCCTTCACAGCCACAAGAGGTCATGCTCCCAACTCACACATCTACAGGTAGTCCTCGACTTACAACCGTTCATTTAGTGACCGTTCAAAGTTACAAGAACTCTGAAAAAAATGACTTATGACCATTTTTCACCCTTACGACCATTGCAGCCTCCCCGTGGTCACATGATCAAAATCGAGACACTTGGCAACTGACTCATATTTATGACGGTTGCAGTGTCCCAGGGTCACGTGATTCCCTTTTGCGACCTTCTGCAAGCAATGGAGGAAGCCAGATTCACTTTACAACCGCGTTACTAACTTAATAACTGCAGTGATTCACTTAACAACTTTGGCAAGAAAGGTCGTAAAATCTTACGACCTTTGCTTAACTCTCTTGCTTCCTCACAACTTGTCTTCTGTTGCTCAAAATTTCAGCAACAGGAATGCTGGGCTCCATTGCGGTCATAAGTGGAGGACTAGGTGTGCAGGAATTTCCGGGGAAAAAATGGCCAAAACTCACCAGGGGCATTTCTCTCTCGTGCTGGTCAGGCAGGCCCGGCAGGTCAGGCAAAGCAGGGAAGCTCCGAAGGAAGATTTGCCGGGTGGCTGACCTTGGAAATGCCTGGGCGCCTTCCGGTTTTGGAGACACCAAGCCCTCAGCCAGCAGCTGCAGTGGTGAAGGCACCAGCAAGAGCCATAGCCCTTAGACTTATCTATCGCTTCACGGCGCTTGTACAGCCCCCTCTAAGCGGTTTACAGAGTCAGCCTCTTGCAAACCCCAACAATCTGGGTCCTTGTTTTACCCACCTCGGAAGGACGGAAGGCTGAGTCAACCTTGAGCCTGGTGGGATTTGAACTGCCAAATTACAGCCAGCCAGAAGTAACCTCCAGTGCTGCACTCTAACCACTGTGCCACTGCTGCTCAGAACTTCTCCTGGTTTCTAGCCTGGTTGTAGTTCCTCCTCAGGCTCCAAACCAGTTGGGTGACCTTGGGCCAGCCCCTCCCTCTCAGCCCAAAGAAGGCCGCAAGGGTAAGCCCCTTCTGAGCAACCATCTCAAGGGAATTGCAGGCTCTGCTCAATCTCCAGGGATCAGCACGAACTCATCCAGCCCCTAAACCAGGGTTTCTCAACTTTAAAAACTTGAAGATGCGTGGATTTTAACTCCCAGAATTCCCCAGCCAGCAAATAGCAGTTGTGCTCCTGACTAGCGTGGTCCTCTCTCCTTCGGCCGCAGGGCAGAGTCGTCCAGCTGAATGGGGCTGGCCTGGAGGGGTTCTGCCTGCCGGCCACCATCCTGCCCCAGGTGCAGCCGTCTTTCCTGGTGGCAGATGCCACACCGGCCCCTGAGCCCACCCAACCGCGGGAGACGTGGGGAGGGAAGTACGAATTCCTGCTCTCCTGCCTGGGATACTGCGTGGGGCTGGGGAACGTGTGGAGGTTCCCGTATCTCTGCTATCGCAACGGAGGCGGTGAGTGGACGTCCCACCCGCTTCCCTCCTTAGCAGGGGCCCATCTGGCAATCGTTCTGTCTCAGTTGGCATTAACAGTCCCCTCCTCCTCCTCCTCCTCCCCCTCCAGTCTATGGAGATTATTCTCAGTCCTCCAGGTCCCAGAGGTGCTTTTTCAAGAGGCAACTGGACTTTCGGGTTTTTCTTTGAAGCTCTGAGCTGAAGAAGCTTCTTGGATGAGAAGTGAAATGTCTTCAAAGAAAAACCCGAAAATCCAGTTGCCTCTTGAAAAAAGCACCTTTGGGAAAGCTATCCAACTTTTTCATTTCTTTGCCAGCTGCTCTGAATTTGCCAAGCAAGCGTGCTGATGTTATCTTTTTCCTCTTAATTAATATTAATGTAGATTGTTCCATTTCCTTTCTGTTGTCATACAGAGCTTGTGGCGTCCCTCCCTTTCACTCAGGAGAGACATATTACATCTCAAATTAGTAGCCTTTTGCCTTGAACTTCCGCTATTGTTCTGCTCCACCTGTCTTATCATCCCTGCAGGCCCTGAGCAGGTGTGGATGCCACCAACATCCTGGGCTCATTCCTTTTCTTCACCACAACTGGGTTTCTCCAAGCTCTGTTCTTAAGGGAAGCTAACAAAGTAGAATATTTGCAGCTGGGTTGAAATGAGGGCTCCCTGATGCTCTCTGAGCTGGGTGGTTTTCTTGCAGACGTTTCATGACCCAACTAGGGAATGTCATCAGTCCTATAACGAGTGCTGTCGATGTCACCTAGCAATGAAACGTCTTCAAGAAAACCACCCAGCTCAGAGAGCAGCAAGGATCCGTCATTAAGAGAAGCTGCTTCTTTTTCAGAAGATTGGATGGTTGGACACCCTTAAGGCATTCCACACTGGGGCAAGAGCCACACAGTCAAAGCACGGCTGGCCTTGGAAAGCTGGAGTATAAAGCTGCTCCTGGCATCCCCTTCCTCCCCCCTTGAGCTCCCTGGCATTAATCCTCCTGTCCTGTCCTGCCCTTTCCTTGACTTCTTCTCTCTCTCTTTCTCTCCCCCGTGAACGGCTCCATTGTTCTTTCTAGGCTGTTAAGTCAAGCTTGCGTGTGTGAGCAATTAGTGCAATGGTTCAACAACTGGCCCATTCCGGAGCATCTCCCTTTTTCTGCCTAGGCACACGCAGCCATCCTTCCCTGCCTAAGGACGCCTCCCACCCCACCCCTGATCATTAGGCACTTGACCTGAGAATGGGGTCAACAGCAGGGCTTTTCCTCTGCATTCCAATAGGGGGCGCTGTGGCACTGAGCAATCACCCAAGAGCCAAATCCCTGTTGGGGAAGGAGAAGATCCAGGGAGGGGCCCAAGTGCCAAAGACCTTTTACACCAGGCAACGTGTGGACTTCAACTCCCAGAATTTCCCACCCAGCTGGGAATCCTGGGAGTTGAAGTCCACACGTCTTCCAAGTTGCCAAGCTTGGAGGTCCCCGTTTTAAACCCTCCACCCCTCTTACCCAGGTCTTTAAAAAGTCTTTTGTTCCTACTTTTGGGCTGAGTTCTTGCAACAAATTGCGTTGTGAGGTGGCACAAACTTTGTACTTGGAAATGTGGAGCCATTTCACACCTTTATGTCTGTATCATTATTCTCCCGCCCCCCCCCAAAAAAAAACCACCCATAAAATGACGGGAAATCGTGGAAGCAGTGATTCCATCCTTGCTGAGGTTGAGCTAAGAGGGCGACGGTGAAGCCTCACTAGAGGAGCCATGTAGGTCCTGATGGGCCGGTAGGTCTTCCCTTGGCTGCTTTGGCTTCCATCCCTCCTCCAGGCTGCTTTCCCCAAGCACCAAAATGGCCATTTTTGCCCCCAGGCAGCTTCTAAAGCGATGGGAATCCATTCTCAAAGGGTGGCAAGTTCAGTTAGTCCAGGGCCGGTGGCTTTGTAGGGAAGAGGAGGACTGGGGGGGTCCTTTTTTTTTTTTAATTGAAAAGTTTTACAAAAAAGAAAAAAAATTCAAATATTTCCCCTTCCCCCCCCTCTTCCTTCCCCCCCTAGCCCCCCCCCCCCCGCCTCCCAGAACAAAATACAAGGTCATTTCTTTTTTTTTCTTTTTTTTTAATTTGATTTGATTTGTATGCCGCCCTCCTCCAGAGACTCAGGGCGGCTTACAGTGCGTTAAGCAATAGCCTTCATACTTTTGTATATTTATACAAAGTCAGCTTATTGCCCCCACAAACTGGGTCCTCATTTCACCTACCTTAGAAAGGATGGAAGGCTGAGTCAACCTTGAGCCTGGCGAGATTCGAACCTGCAGTAATTGCAGGCAGCTGGAGTTAAATTACAATGCATTAGTCTGCTGAGCTATCCAGGCTCTTGGACTTCTAGAAAATTTGGCAGAAATTTCTCCAAATTTCTGCCAAATTTGCCACTTTTAATGTCCATTCTTCAATAGTAGGCAATTCTTCCTTCTTCCAGTATTGCGCCACCAAAAGTCTAGCTGCAGTTATTAAATTTAAAATCAATTTAGTCTCCATACCGTACAATCTGTGATTATACCCAACAAAAACAATTGTGGAGTAAACTTTATCTTCTTTTTAAGAATATTTTGGATAATCCACCATATTTTAATCCAAAATGCTTTAACTTTTTTACAAGTCCACCATATGTGATAATAAGTAGCATCATCACAATCACATCTCCAACACTTAGATTGCAAATTCGGATACATACAAGCCAACTTTTTAGGATCCAAATGCCATCTGTAAAACAATTTTACATTTCTAACCCATATTTTTTCCCAAGTTTCCATCATTATTGGTTCCTGAATGTTTTGTGCCCATTTTATCATGCAATCCTTAACTAATTCTGTTTCTGAGTCTATTTCTATCAGTATATTATATAATCTTTTTATATTTTCCTCCTTCTGCATGATACCAATTCTCTGGTCTTCTTTCCATCTAGCTTGCAACTGTCCATACTGAAACCAAGTTTGAATTATTTTTTCTTCTTTCAATGCCTTTATAGATTTTAACTGCAATATACCCCCTTCCATTTTAAGAAGCTCTTTATAGGTAATCACCTCTTGCTTTTGTTCTACACTAGGACTGTGCGGTCCTTGATGCTCTTGTTTTCTGGCAGAGGTTTCATGACCCAACTAGCGAACAGCATCAGTGCTAGAAGGGGGGAGGAGGAGGAGGAGGAGGAGGAGGAGGAGGAGTGCCAATGTTGTGTGTTAAGGGCCACACCTGCGTTGCCTTCTCTTCTTAGGGGTCTTTCTGATTCCCTACACCATCATGCTGGTCTTCACGGGCCTGCCTCTCTTCCTGATGGAGCTCAGCCTTGGCCAATATGGGGCCACCGGACCCATCAGCGTCTGGAAGTGCTGCCCCCTCTTGAAAGGTGAGCCCATCCCAGCAGGGCCAGGAGGCCACCGAGCCCCAGTGGAGAGCCCCCTCAGTCCGTGTGGGGCATCCTGTGAGTGGGTGGGGGGCCAGAGGGCGGCTGGAGAGGAAAGGGGCCTTTTAGGGGCCTTTCTCATTTTGCCCTGTGGAGGAACCCCTCTTGCTGATGAGCGCCGTGACTCGTAAGCGGGAGACCCCCCAACTCCGCTTCTGTCCCTGCTTGTGGTGGAGCTCAGGGGCCCCTGGGCTTCTTCTGGGGAGCCTGGGGTTGGGGCCCTGCCCACCAGCCTCCTGTGCCCTTCTGCTGGGGCTCTACAGAAATGCCCTCCGCCCTCCGGAGGAGAGGTACCCTCAACTGGGGAAGGGGAGCCATGGAACTGCGCTGGTTGACCTCCCCCACTCCCTGCACAGGGATCGGGGTCGGGATGTTGGTGGTCTCCTCGCTGGTCTCCCTCTACTACAACGTCATCATCGCCTGGACCCTCTACTACTTGAGCATGTCCTTCCAGAGCCCCCTGCCCTGGTCCTGCGACGCCCCCCACAACCGCCCCCTCTGCCAGGCTCAGGTAGCGGCTGGGTCCTGTGGGGGGGGAGGGAAGAGCGGGAGGGGCAGCAGGGCGTCCTCAGGGTTCCACATGCTGGACCTCCGCTCTGGCCCAGGAGACGGGAGTAGCTGGCCGGCCAGCAGGCCTGGAGAGACCCAGGGAGGCCCTGTGCCTGCGCTGCCCCTTCCCCGCCCCACGAGGGTCTCCTCTTGCCTTTCAGAACGGGACTTTGGTGAGCAGCCGCCCGTCCAGCGCCAGCGAGGCCTTCTGGAAGTGAGTCTCCTGGGTTGGGGGAGGTGGGCTCCCTCATTTTGGGGGGGGGTCAGCCTGGGGAAGCAGGGAATGCGGGGGGGTGGCCCACAGGCTCAGCCTCTTCAGCTGGAGCTTCTCCAACCTGCAAGCGCAGCTCCTAGGACGGAGGGACCCACACGGGTACGTGCAAGGTGGCAAAAGCAAGAGGTCGGTCAGCAGCAAAGAAACCGGGCTGGGGAGGGAGGGAGGGAGGGAGGGAGGGGGGGGGGGGGGGGGGGGGACTGACTCTCAAGGGCTGGCTGGGCCTCCTTAGCAAAATCCCTCCCGTTTCCTGGTTGCTGCTGGGCGGGGGGGGGGGGGGGGGGGGGGGGATGCTCATTTTGTATAGGCTTGGAGAACTGCAGGTAGTCCCTGACTTACGACCATAATGGAGTCCAAAATTTCTATTGTTGTTAACTGAATTTTGTCCCATTTTACGGCCTTTCTGGCCACAGTTGTTAAGTGAATCACTGCGGTTGCTAACTTCCTAACACATTAAGTGTTCAGTGAATCCGGCTTCCCCTCGTGGGCTTTGCTGGTCAGAAGGTCACAAAAGGGGATCATGCGACCGTCATAAATACGAGTCAGTTGCCAAGCACCTGAATTTTGATGTGCAAGTATTAAAAACAGTCATAAGTTTTCACTCCCTTTGCAACTTCAAACGGTCACTAAATGAACTGTTGTAAGTTAAGGACTTCCTGCATTCTGCGCCCCCTGGTGGGCGGGGAAGGATCCCGGGGGGGGGGGCAGGGCTCCTTCCTGGCCATCAGCCGTCCTCCCTTCCCCTCTTCTGCTTCCAGCCAGCGGGTGCTGGGCGTGGTGCACAGCTCCGGCCTGGGCGACCCCGGCCCCGTGAGGGGGTCCCTGGCGCTGTGCCTGCTGCTGGCCTGGGCCCTCATCTTCCTCTGCACCCTGAAGGGCATCCGCAGCTCGGGCAAGGTGAGCGGGCCCGGGGGGCAGCGTGGGGAGCCCCTCCTCCCTGGCCTTGCCCTGGGGGCTCAGCCGGGCTCCAGCTGGGGCCGGGGTGCTTCTCCCTCTCAGCCGCTGGGCCCTCTCTCCGGCAGATTGTGTACTTCACGGCCACCTTCCCCTACGTGGTCCTCGTGGTGTTGATCATCCGGGGAGCCACGCTGGAGGGCTCCATCGAGGGCGTCCGCTTCTACCTCTCCGCAGACTGGAGCCGCCTGCAGAGCGCCCAGGTGCCCATGGGCAGAACCGCCTTCTCCAATTGTGTGTCTGTGTGTGTCTGTCTGTGTGTGTCTGTGTGTGTGTGCAGGGGGTGGGGAGAACCCAACCGTTAAGGCTGCTGGTCCTGCTTTCTTGCAAGCGGAAGGCCTGGGGGGGGGTCTTTTGAGGCGGGGTGGGGTCTGACCTCAGCAGGAGCTGAAAGAGGGGGTCAGGTGTGCTTATGGGGCTCTGCCTCCGGCCTTCTCGTGGGGAGGCCGATGGGGAGGGGAGGCAGCCTAACCCTTGGGAGGCAGCTCACACCCGATGGATCTCCACCTTAGCTAAGCCATGGTGTCTTAACCGTGTTTGGCTAAGACATGGCTAAGCACACAGCAACCCACAAGAGTTCAAGAGCAAGCCATCAATGTGTGTTTACAAACCATCGAAGCCTCCTAAGGGTGTGACTGCAGTCTCTGGCCTGCTTTGCAGGTGACGTCAAGCCATGGTTTGACTAGCGGTGGTTTAAAAGAGAATATTTGTAGCTGAGGGTCCTCAGTGCTCTCCGAGCTTGGCAGTTTTCTTGCAAACATTTCATGACTCAGCTAGGGAACATCAACACCACTATCATTATTAGCACTGATGATGTTCCCTAGTTGGGTCACGAAATGTCTGCAAGAAAACCGCCAAGCTCAGAGAGCACTGAGGACCCCACAGTTCTTGGTGGTGATTCTTGAGTAACCCTTGAGTAGCTGAGCTCCGATGTTAAGTCTTCAGGCAACAGCTGTGCCTTAGACGTTGTGCTGATGCTTCTAGTAACCAGGCTTTTTAATAACCGGTGCTGGTAAATGGGGTTGCAAGTTGAGAGGTCCTCTTGGGGAGAAAGCCAGGCCCAGAATGTCTCTTTCCCCCTCCTTGGAGAAGGTCTGGAACGACGCAGCCTCGCAGATCTTCTACTCGCTGGGCATCGGCTTCGGGGGGCTGCTCTCCATGGCTTCCTACAACAAGTTTGACAACAACGTGATCAGGTGAGGCAGCTGGAGGAGCCCTCATCACCTGCCTCCCTGGCCTGGAACCCGGGCTGGACACAGATCGGCCCCACGGGGAAAAGGGGGGGCTTTGGGGGGTCTCCACGTCAGGCGTCACAATCTCTTGCTGCTGTGGGGAACTTCTGGGGGTGAGGAAGACAAAGCCGTGGGGTCCACCAAAGGTGTGGTGTCAACGCAGGAACCCACAGCCTAGGGGACAGCTGGCCACCCCCTTGTTCAGCCCCACGAGCTCCCCCCCCTCTCTCTGCCCACAGGGACACGCTGGTGATTGGCATTGGGAATTGCTGCACCAGCTTCTTCGCGGGCTTTGCCATTTTCTCCGTCCTTGGGCACATGGCCTGGCGGAAGAAGGTCTCTGTCGGAAGGGTGGCAGATTCAGGTGCGGAGGATGTTGGGAAGCCCCCTTTGGCTGGGCCACCAGTCGGCTCTCGGAGGCTTTGAGATCTCCAGGGCCGTCTTGGAACCCTCCCATGGTCTTCAAGAGGGGCTCGATGGTGGGCCTGAGAGCAAAGGCCGTTTTGGCATCCCTGTTTTCCTGGGCGGGGGAGGAGAGCAGACCCTTTAGAGAAGTGGGGCTGAGCAGCATAGCACTGGCTGAAGAAGAGCCCCACCGAGACCCCCACAGCCTTCCCAGCTCCTCTCCATCTCCCAGCTCTGTTTCGCCTGCCAGCGTGCCCAGGTTTGGCCAAAGCAGACGGGGGGGGCAGGGGGCGGGGGGGGCTTTGAGTGACCTCTGGCTCTTTCCTCAGGACCCGGACTGGCTTTCGTGGCCTACCCCGAAGCCCTGGCTCTGCTGCCCGGCTCCTTCTTCTGGTCCATCCTGTTCTTCCTGATGCTCCTCACCCTGGGGGTGGACACGCTGGTGAGTGGCAGCCGGCCGGGCCCTTTTCGGAACTGGGGGCTGCATGGGGGGGGGGGGGAAAGGCCCCCCCCCAAGAGCAGCAGCAGCTTCTGCTGCAACCTGACCCAACTGGCCCCTTCAGGTCTATTGCAGTTCCCATGGAGCACATCTGGGGAGGGTCTCTGTCTGAAGCAAACATCTGGGCCACTGAGGTGGCTTTTAAGGGAAGAAAGCTTCTTGGTTGTCACCCTTCCTTCCTTCCTTCCTTCCTTCCTTCTTTTCCTTTCCTTTTTCTCTTCTTTCTCTCTCTCTCCCACCCTTCCTTCTCCCATTCTTTCCTTTTTCACTTCCTCCCTCCCATTCTTTCAAATCAAATGCACCGTTGGCAATAGGGAAAGAGTCCCGTAAAAGCAGCAGCGTAAATCCCAACGCCTTCCCCCTCGGGGGCTGAGCTTTCCAAGGCTCTGTCTTGCCTCCCCCTGGGCTCCTCCGTGCCTGGCCCGTCTCCTGGCCTTCTGCTCCTTCCGTGGCCGGAGGGGGCTGAGCTTCCGAGGGGAGGGGGTGGGGGCGGGAGGGGGGCGCTTTATTTCACTCATGCTCTCCTGCCTGCCTGCCTGCCTGTCAGTTTGGAAACATGGAGGGCATCACCACGGCAGTGATGGACGAGTTCCCGTCCCTGCGCAGTTGGAGGCGCAAAGTCCTGTTCCTGGGAGGGCTCTGCTTGGCCTTCTACCTGCTGGGCCTCCTGCTGATCACAGAGGTGAGCACGCGTGTGTGTCTGTGTGTCTGTGTGTGTCTTAAGCACCCCGTCTTCCCCCCCCCCGCCTCTTCATTAGTACAACGTACTCCCTGTTTTGTGTTGGCAAGAGCCTCCGACTTATTACAGGTAGTCCTCGATTTACAACAGTTCATTTAGTGACCGTCCGAAGTCACAACGGCAGTTTAAACGGTGACTTAGGACCCTTTTTCACACTTACGACCGTTGTATCTCCAAAGTCACCGGATCAAAATTCAGGCACTTGCCAACAGACTCCTACTTCTGACGGTCAGTGGCCCCGGGTCATGCGATCCCTTTTTGCGACTGTCCGACAGGCAAAGTCAACGGGGGAAGCCGGATTCACTGAACGACTGTGTGACTCACTTAGCCACTGCAGTGATTCACTTAACAACTGTGGCAAAAAAGGTCATAAAACGGGGCACAATTAACTGAACAACTGTCTCACTTAGCAACAGAAGTTTTGGGCTCAATTATGGTCGTAAATCAAGGACTACCTGTACTGTAATCCAAAGTATCTTGTCTCTCACTGTAAAAAAGGCATTGAACGAGGGTTCACTCCGTTGTGGGAACCCAGTTTTCCCCCTGGCGGGTGGCCTAACCCAGGCGTCCACATCAAGCCACCATTGGCAGGAGCCGTCTGAATGGACGGAGTTTGTTCCCTGAATGATTACACCAGATTTGGATGCTCTGTGTTGTATCCTTTGTTGTACTGACCGAGCACAGCATTAGGGATTACGTAGTTCTGGTCAGGCATCCCCACCTTGTAAGGCAGCCGAAGGGCCCTTGCAGCCTCCTCTGCTCTGTGGGGACCCAGCGGTGGGTTTGGGGACCCTTGCCAGCCTGCTGAGGGGGAAGCCCGGCCTCTGGATTGGGGAGAAGCCCTCAGAAGGCGAGCAGCAGACGGACTGGGGAGGCCCAGGCCGGTCCCGCCCAGTTTGGTGCCAGGCCTTTGTGGCTTTCCTCTTGCAGGGCGGCATATACTGGTTTACCCTCATCGACGCCTACAGCACCAGCTTCGGCCTCATCATCGTGGCTCTCTTCATGTGCCTTGGGGTTGCCTTCTTCTACGGTGAGTCCGTGCGGGGCGAGCAAGCTGTGCCAGGCAGGCAATGGCTTCCTAGGGAGGGTCTCCCCCTGTGGGACTGCCTGGCAGTGGGGCGCTGTATCCGTCTTCACCACTAACCAGCATAAGTGGCTTGTCCATGTGCAAAGGATCCTTGGTCTTGGTCAGCTCAGCTCAGGTCAGGCTTCCCTTCCCACATTCACCCCATCAAGCGTTGTTGAAATGAGGGGTCCTGGGAGCTCCCTGAGCTGGGCGATTCTCTTGCAGACGTTTCATGACCCAGCTAGGGAACATCATCAGTGCTAGAAGAGGGGGGGGTTTGCAGGGAGGAGGAGGATGACGATGACTACGGGGCCATTGGTGCCCTCTGAGCCAGGTTGCAGACGTTTCATTATCTAGCAGGGTAACATCATCAGTGCTGGAAGGGAGAGGGGTTTGTCTCCTTTTTCACTAAAATGCAAAACCTCTCTCCCCTTTAAGGCAAAGTTTCCCAACCTTCACATTTTATTTATTTTTTAGTTTTATTTTAATTTGATTTATATGCCGCCCTTCTCCGGAGACTCAGGGCGGCTTACAATGCGTTAAGCAATAGCCTTCATCCTTTTGTATATTTATACAAAGTCAGTTTATTGCCCCCACAAACTGGGTCCTCATTTCACCTACCTTAGAAAGGATGGAAGGCTGAGTCAACCTTGAGCCTTGGAGAGATTCGAACCAGCAGAAATTGCAGGCAGCTGTGTTAATGACAGGGTGCACTAAACCCCTGTACTATCAAGGCTCTTTTTACATCTCTTCACATCTCATCTATGGACCTCAACTCCCAGAATTCCCCAGCTAGCAATGAATGATAGAGTTGGAAGGGACCAGAAGGGTCACCTAGTCCAGTATTTCTAAACCTTTTCAACTTTTAACGTGTGGACTTCAACTCCCAGAATTCCTGGCTGGGGAATTCTGGGAGTTGAAGTCCACACGTCTTAAAGTTGCCAGAGTTGGGAAAACCTGCTCTCACGTCTGCTGGGCTGCTTCCTAAATTAATCTGGACGGACACAGCTTGGGTTCAGAAAATACTAAAGACGGCAATTGCTTCTTCTTTTGCCCTGGATCAAAAAAACCAGGCAGTGGCTGTGCGGAACATGCTGTCATCTGGCCGAGAGGCGGTGTGGATGCGTGGAAGGAAAGCCCAAATCAGGGATGGGACCGGCAAGGGTGCTTCCCCACAGCCGTGTGCAACCCGTTCCTTTTCCTGCAGGGGTGAACCAGTTTTGCCAACACATCGTCGACATGATCCGGCAGTACCCACCCTGGTGCAGCCAGCTGGTGCCGTACTTCAAGGCCTGCTGGGTGATCTTCACGCCAGGGATGTTGCTGGTAGGCCAGGCGGGGGCTTTGCGGTCTCCCTGCCCCCCCCCCCACAGCTCTTATGGGGAGAGTCTGGGCAGCCGTGGGGTGGCCTCCCACCCCTTGGCCATCCTTGTCCGCTCTTCTCCCTTCGCAGTTCATTCTCTTCTACATCTTCCTGGACCTGTCGGGCACCACACTGCACTACGGAGCGTACCGGTTCCCACGGTGGGGCCAGGCGCTGGGCATCTGCATGGGGGTGCTGAGCTGCATTCAGATTCCGCTTTGGGCTGGCATCGCTCTCTGCGAGGAGTCCGGGACGCTGGTTGCTGTGAGTCGGGGAAGAGAGCCCAGTGGGTGGCGGGTAGGGAGGACTTCCCGTCTCTCACCTGCAGGACAGGGAGGGAGCCGAGTCGGGCAGGGCTCCAGGTGTGTCCATCCTGTGCCACAACTGAGGACCCCAAGGAGAAGCCTTGCTGCAAAATCCAGTCAGTCGGTCACCAGGACCAAAGATTTATTCTTCCAAGCTTGCTGGAGCGCATGGCCATTGCTCTTCTGGCCTCTGCCATGCAGCCCTCCCTTGCAGGGCTCTCCAGAGGGATTTCCAAAGAGGGTTCCCCTGGCGGAAGAGCTGCTCCCCAGAGACCACCTTAAGTGGCCGGCTTGCGTCTTTTCTGGATGTTTTGGTCAGGGGGGAGCTGCTCAAGCCCCCCTCCGATTCTCTGGGTCACGGGGTGGAATCCGAGGGATGGCAAGACCCCTTCAGGGTAGAGTTGCTGACAGGAGCCAGGGGCAGCTTTGCACCCCTTCTGGAGACCTTGGGTTGTAGGCGGGAGAAGAAAGGTCATAAAACGGATCAAGCTTCCAGGAAGCAGGCACACTGTTCTGGCTGTGTGGGGCAGCCCTTGGGGAGCCCCACGCCCTCTTGCCTCTCCCGGCGTACGTTCCTGGCGATACCCTTGATGGCGGAGGGGGGCAGTTGGAGCCGTGTCCAAAGTCTCCCCTTCTGTCGCCACAGCGCTTCAGGAAAGCCGTCCGTCCTCGGAGTTCCTGGCGTTCTGCCAGCAGCCGTGAGCTGCCCCACCAGGTCATCGACGTTCCCTACACCGTCAACTTGACGGACAGCGACTTCGTAGGAGGTTGGCAGCTGCCAGATCGCAGCGAGGCCTGATGCTGCGGCCAACGCAGGAGGAGGCATCTATGCCGGTCCACTTAAGGCTTGGACCCGACCAGCCATTTTGCTGTCCCTTGGAGGGGGTTGCGGTAAAAGCAACGGTGCAGGAGAGACGCTGCTGCCACTGCTGACTGACAGGGCCAGCCTGGAGGCTGCTGGTGCCCCCAGGCCCTCTCCCCACGAGAAGCCCAGGGGCCGGGCCACAGCCATCGCTGCTCCACTCCCCGATCGGGCCGCGACTCTTGGCTCCAGCGTCTTTTCAGGGCAGCTCTGCCCCGTCTCCGAAATCGAAGAGGCCACCCTCCACTGCTGCTTTGCTGCCCTGTGGCACTCCCCCTCACGCACCCGGAGCATGGGAAGTCCTCAACTTAAGACCACAATTGAGCCCAAAGAGTTTATTGCTAAGCAAGACAGATGTTAAGTGAGTTTTGCCCAATTTACCACCTTTCCTGCTCAATTGTTAAGTGAATCACTGCAGTTTTTAACTTAGTAACACGGACGTTAAGTGAATCTGGCTTCCCCATCGACTTTGCTTGTCAGAAGGTTGCAAAAGGGGATCACATGACCCCAGGATAGTGACCGTCATAAATACACGCATTGTCCAAATTTTGATCACGTGACCCTGGGGGAGGCTGCAACTGTCCTAAGTGTGAGAAACGGTCATGTCACTTTTTTCAGTGCTGTTGTAACTTTGCTCATTTACTGCATGGCTGTAAGTCGAGGACTTCCTGTACGCCTTCTCCGCTTTCCCTACCTTTGGCTCGCTCAGGACCTCCCCTCGGATTCAGCTCACCTGGTGCCTCCTTTCCACCTTGGCCGGAGGTGCCCTGGGCTGGCTCAGCCTCTCGTGCAGCGGCACAAGACAAAGCGGCAACATCTGCCTGCAGCCCACAGCTGAGTTACAGAAGGACAGGAATGTCCAGGGACAACGGGCATTTTGGGCTGGCCCCCCTGGACGGACATAACCCCACAATTTTTCTAAAGGGTCTTCTTACGGTGCTCCCTGGGCCCACTCGGGCTGCAGTGAAGGCTCTACACAATCTTGCCAAGTGTGCCCTCCCTCCTCCCCAGACGTGGGGGCATTATAGAGCACTGCCCTTTGCAAAGGGTGAAGGGGAGAACCAAACTCATACAAAGTCCGAGCATTTTTACGGGCCCTTCTGGAAACCAGACAAATAAAGCTGTGGTGCCTGTGTGGAGAGGGCAGGGAGCCGTTGCGTGTGCTGTGTGTTGTGTCCCTAGGCTGGCTTCTCTGCTGGGGAATCTCGGCTCTTTGGCGTGGGACGTTCTTCTGGCTAGTGGCCGAGAGTTCCGCCGGCTGAGAAGGCAGCAGCCTTGCCTAGGAAAACATCCCCAGGCCCTTAAGAGAAAAGAAAGGCCTTCTCCTCACTGGGGCCCCAGGCTGAGCCTGAAGGGGGGGGGGGAAACAGTGCTTCTGGCCACCCAGCAGCCATCCCAGAAGGAGACCATACTGCCAACTTTATTAAAATAGTCTACATGCTTTATTAGATTCAAAACAGTTTTACGAAAAGCAGCTGGCTGGCCCAAGGAGCTGCCCCCTTTGCTGCCTGGGCAGCCCCCCTGCAGCCTTGCTGGCCAGACGGCCGCCTTCCTCCTTGCCCTGAGACCCAGCGAGACGGGCTCCCCAGGGCCGCTCTGGACAGTCCAGGAGGCAGCCAGGAGCCCGAGGCGTTGCCATCCTCTCCTTGGCTGCACCAAGCGGCCACGAGAGCCGCCAAGCGTTGGTTCCGCTCCCGAGGGAAGGCTGTGGTCCAGGGGCGCCTGTTGGGGTTCCCCTACTCCAGCCACACGGAGGGGAGCAGTGGGCAGGAGGGGGGCAGCGGGTGCAAGCCATGCGCAGCCAAGCAGGGCACTCTGGCCCCAGGAGGCCCCCCAGCAAAGAGCGTCTCTGTCAGCACCAGGCGTTCCGGTGGAGGGCAGCCAAGGGCGCTTGCCCAGACCTTCCGTGTCCTCCGGCTACTTCCGGGGCTTCTTAAAGATCTTAAGCGGGAACTTCTTCTTCCCGGCGCCTGAGTCAGTCTCCTCGCCGGTGGAGCCACTGTCCTCCTCGCCCGCCGCGCCCGTCTTCTTGGCTGCCAGGTGTGGGATGCGGCTGTTCGCCTTGCCCGACAGGAGGGAGAGCGCGGTGCGGCCATTGGCAGGCGGCGAGGGGGTGTCTGGCTCAGTGGAGCTGGGGCTGTGTGACCGAGAGGAGTCCCCTGAACGGGCCCCCACCGGCCCCAGCTCCCCCAGGCTGCCCGCCTTCTCCAGCCCCCCGTGGTGGTTGTGCGGGGGCACCTTCTTCATTGTCAGCGGGGCCTCCGACTCGACAGGCTCCGTTTGATGCTGCTGCTGCTGTTCCTCAGCCGGTTTGTTCAGCAGGGCGGGGCGCAGCTTGGGCATGGAAACGGCTGCCCGCGGGAGGTCGCTCAGGTGTGGGATGGAGGAATCCGAGTCCGAGCGAGCCAGGTCCCTGGAGGGGGGGGGGGAGGTGAGAAGACGTGAGTCTGTGAGCCTGGAAGGACTCGAACCCATGCCCCTGCATTCAGTGGCCCACAGCAGCAGCTGCCCTCCGATGCCCTGCCCCCCAATTCCTTCACAGGCGGAACCCAGGGAAGGCCGGCAAGCCATTTTCCTCCATGCCACCCTCACTCTCATACAGAGTGCGGGGGGGGGGGGCATACAAATGCTACTGCTGTCCTTCCAGGCAGCCACCCAGGCAAATGGCCAAACAGAGCGGCCTCAGCAGAAGCCACATGAACCGCTGGACACGAGCCGTCCACAGCGCTCTGAGCACAGCAAACACAGCCAGGGGTCGGGAGAGCTCACGGTGCAGTTAGTGGGTTTCATGGGAAGACACAGCAGGCACCACACCCCGTGCAGCGGCTGCCGGCAGCTGGCCAAAGGTTAGGCGGGGGAGCCCGTGCCAAGGCCGAGCGGACAGGACGGTACCCTGAGCTCTCTGTCTGGCCGTGCGTCCCCGAGGTGACGTCGGGAGGGGGCAGGTTGGGCAGGGCATCCATCTGCAGGATGTAGGAGGAGGTGGTGTGGTGGTAGAGGATGGGCAGCCCGTGGCAGGCGGGAGCAGAGGGCGCTCCGTGGCCGGCCGAGGAGGAGGAGGAGTACGGTGGAGCTGTTGGGACGTCGATGCTGCCGCCGCCACCGGTGAGGCTGGGCATTCGGCGCAGAGTGACCCTGCCGGGCAGGTAATGCACCAGCTGTCCCGATTCCCCCTGGCTGGGGTCCTGCTGGTGACTCTCTACCAACCTCTGCGATCCCAAGGAATGCTGGGGATCCACCAGGCGCTGGCGAATGACGCTGCTTGGCAAGGTGGGAGCTGGCGGGAGAGAAGGGAACAAGGGCCAAGTTAGGGAGGAAGAGGCTGCACTGCTTGTCCAGGAGGCCGCTTCCTCCATTTCCGTCTTTCCGGGAGGGAGGGAGGGAGGGAGGATGGGGTTGGGGGGCGTCAGAAGCTGTCCTGCTTCCCCCCTAAGCCCTCCCTGTTTCCTCTCCCACTCCCTGGGATGCAATCAGCCAAGGAGGAGGAGGAGGTGAGCTTTTCCCCAGTCTGGCCGAAGCACACAATACAGTGTGGCTGCCCCCCGACTGCCCACCACCTGTCGGCCCCAGCCCCACGGTGCCCAGGGAGGTGCCCAAGGCTGCTGGCTGGGCCCGAAGGGGCATGCAAATGGGAGACAAGGAGGTACCCGGTGCACGAAAGACCCGAGGAAGAATCAGGCCCTGCTGGGAAGCGAAGAACCAGGAAGCAGCCGGTTGGGGGAGGGGGGGACCATTCAGCGCCATCTCCCCCTGACCCCCGCCCTCCCCCCTTCAGAGCGCCCCTCCCAACGCCTGTCTCTGGGGAAGACAAAGTCTGGGCTCTCCTGCACCTCTTTCCCTGCATGGGGATAATTTGGAGTGGGAAAATGTGCTGGCCAGGAAGATCTCTTCAAAGGAGGGTGGGAGCTAGAAGGGGGGCCTTCTCGGTGGGGTCTCCCTCCCTGGGTGACATCATCCCTGCGGAGTTAAGACTGGCCCCCCTCTTGACCCTCTTCCACACAGCACTGAAAGCCTGGCTCTGCCAGCGGGCCTGGGGACCCCCGAGTGGGGAATTCTGGGAGCTGAAGTCCACAAGTCTTAAAGGTGCCACGGCTGGAGACCCCTGCTCCAAAGACAAGAAAAGCCGGAGGGGGTAGGGGGGTCCCCTTTCTCTCCCTGCCCCTGCCCCTCCTGGCGAAAGAAACCAAGTGAACACGGACGTCTGTCCATCCCGCCCCTCCGCTCTGCTTTCACGGCTTCTGTCCCGCAGCGGTTCTTCGTTCCGACGGGCACTGCCCTCCGGGAGGGGTCGGCAGAGAGAGGCAACCGAGGGCGTGAGGGTTAGTGGCGGTGCTAGAAAGGGGAACCGCCCAGATGGGGGGCAGCAGGAGGGGCTCTTAGGCGGAGTTTAGTCCGGTGGGTGAAAGCGAGTCCAAGAGAAGGAGGCTCAAACCGGGGTGCTTCCAGAAGGCCTGGTCCTCCGAGCAGGGGGCGGGGCGGTCACTGCCCTGGCGCCCCAAAAGCAAGGCCACGTCTGGCGTCAGCAAGGAGGGCAGGCGGGGAAAGAGAAAGCGTCATTGGCATCGACGTCCGGGAAGGGGGGGGTCCTTCCTGCCCCCCAGCCCAGACCCCGGAGAGAAAGGCGGGGCCTTCCCGGGTCAGGACCTCCAGGAGGGCTTAGCTCTCCGCCCACTCGGCTCCTCTGGGGCCCTTCCCAGCCTCCCAGGGCAGACCTGAAGGGCCGGGGCTCAGCTGGGCTTCCAGTGCCAAGATGACCAGCCTCGCCTCCACCCCGAGACCCCTCCCCTCCGTGACCCCTGGCAGGTGCCCAGCTGAACCGGGTCCTGAGAAAAGCACTCTGCAGGTGCTCAGAGGCCCTGCGGGGGTTAAGCACGAGGGAGCCAAGGCTGGCTCCTTCACTGCTTTTCTCAGAGTAAGACAAAGCGCAGCTGGTCCTTGACTTACGACCGTTCAATTAGTGACCGTTCGAAGTTACATCCCTAAGAAAAGCGATTTATAACCATTTTTCACGCTTACGACCGTTGCGGCCTTCCCTGTGGTCACATGATCAAAATCTGGCTGTTTGGCAACCGACTCACATTTATGACGGTCGCAGTGTCCCTGGGGTCTCGTGATCCCCTTTTGCGACCTTCTGACAAGCAAAGTTGACAGGGAAGCCAGATTCACTTAACGACCATGTGACTAAGTTAACAAATGCAATGATTCACTTAGCTACGGTGGCAACAACGGTCATAAAATGGGTCATAATCCACTTAAGGACTGCCTCACTTAGGAGTTTTGGGCTCAACCGTGGTTGTAATTCGAGGACTTTCTGAAGATGCACCTACACTGCATGGACATGGGGGAGACCATCTCTTCGTCCAGGTCGTCCACGTCGTCGGTCATGATGAAGTGGGAGGGGTTGGGGCGCGGGGGCCCCCCCACCCAGCTGGGGTCGATGTTGAGGGCCGTCACCAGCGTGGGGATCCCGGGGTTGTTGACAATCTGGAAGCCGCACAGCAGCTCGATCTGCTGCCAGCGGTGGAGCCGTTCTCGCAGGGCGGCCGTCACCTCGCTCAGCGCCTGCCTGCAGGAGGAGGGGGAGAGTCAGGAGGCCTGCGGAGACGAGGGTCCGGTGCAGCCCTCTTGGGGCCTCTAGCCCCCCTGGCAACACCACAGCCACCGTTCGTTTAGTGACCGTTCGAAGTTGCAACAGCACTGAAACAAAGAGACTTAGGACCGGTTCTCACAGCTACGACCGCTGCACTATCCCTTGGACGTTGATCACAACTGGCAACTGACCCGTACTTACGACGGTTGCATGGTCATGAAATCAGGCAAAACCCACTTAACAACCGTCTCGCTTAGCCCCAGAAATTTTGGGCTCCATTTTGGTCGTAAGTTGAGGACCTCCAGTATTATCACAGTTACCATCAGTAACAGGTTTGATGTTACCATCAGTCACAGTCACAGAGTTGGAAGGGACCTTGGAGGCCATCTAGTCCAACCCCCTGCTCACGCAGGAGACCTATGCTAGGGATTCGAACTGCAGAACTGCTGACCTTCCTGATGGACAAGCTCAGGGTCTTAGCCACTGAGCCACCTAGTCAGGTTGCCCCATCCCAGGGTCCCACGGGCGCCCCCTGAAACCTTCTCAGCTGCTTCCGACGAGCCAAGTGGATTCGCTTAATGACCGGGTCATTCACTTAAACAATTGCAACGATTCGCTTAGTAACTCTAGCAAGCGACACAAAATCAGGCCTGACTCACTAAGCAGTCAGCAGCTGAGCAGAGGTCATAAGGACTCTCCGTCCCAGAGGAGCCCCCCTGAGAAGCCTCCCCCAGACACCCCCATTCCCCCTTCCAGGTATCCCTGCTGCCTCAAGGGTCAGAGCCTGAATGGAGAGCGGGTGTGTGTGTGTGTGTGTCGGTCTCTCCCTTTGGGCTCCCCTGGTGGACACAGGACGCCCCCCCACCGCAAAGGCTGCTGGGAGGGGGGCAGCAGGAGAGGGGGAGGGCGTGTGGCACAAACTCACTTGGCGGTCAAAATCTTATGGTCCACGTCGTCCAGGGAGGAGCTGTGGGCCACGTGGAAGGTGCCAAACAGGGTGTTGCGTTTCTTCTTGATTTTTTCGGCCTGGAGGGGAGAACCAAGAGGGGGTCAGGCGGCAGCGCTCAGGAGGTGCAGCAAGATGCCCCCCCCGCCCCCCCCCTTTCAATCAACTGGTTGCAGCTTGATCTGCTGGGAATTCTGCCTTCTATCAATCAGAATAGAGATGGAAGGGACCTTGGAGGTCTTCTAGTCCAGCCCCTTGCTCTAGCAGGAGACCCTATACTGTTTCAGACAGGTGGCTGCCCAGTCTTCTCTTAAAAACCTCCAGTGATGGAGCCCCCACAACTTCTGGTGGCCAGCTGTTCCACTGGTTAATTGTCCTCACTGTCAGGAAGTTTCTCCTTAATTCCAGGTTGCTTCTCTCCTGGGTTAGTTTCCCTCCATCCGTTGCTTGTCCTGCCTTCAGGGGCTTTGGAGAATAGCTGGACCCCCTCCTCTTCTTTGGGGAAGCCCCTCAAATGTTGGAATGCTGCTATCAAGCCCCCCCACCCCCCTCCTGCAACTCTTCTTCCCCCTCCCCCTTTTCTCAGCCATCTCCACCAGACCCACCAGAGCAGGGAGGCAGGGGATGTTGGGGGAGGGGGGTCCAGGAAGAAGGGCCTTCTCCGTGGTGGCTCCCTCCCTGCCATCTGAAGGACCCATCTCTTCATTCCCCCCTCCCTTCAGCTGCAGATTCCACCACAGACAGAGGCCCCCTAGTGGCAATGGGGAGCTGCTACGGGCTCCACCCCCTCCTCATCTTCCCACGACTGGGATACCTGCTTTGCAGCCCTTACAAAGATCCTTTCCGCTCGCTGCAGAATGGAAAGAGTAAAACAGAGAAGGTTCTAGCTAAGGAAGGAAAGCCACACGGTGCTCCCTTTGGAGGAAGATGGGACAGGTTCAAGCACTACTGCCTGGCCCCAAGCCCAGAACAACAGGTGCCGATTCGTCTTCATTTTTCACACCCACAGACAGAATCTTGCCAGGCTGAAGCCTCTCCTATCTGCATCTACCGTACACTCTGGGAACTAGTGAGGAGGAGCTGCCTTCACCCTCTTTCTCACCCACAAAATATCCAGGCTGAGCTGTCTCTTGATTTTCTTGAATGAAGCCCCTCCTACCTGCATTCCATCACATCTATACAGGTAGTCCTCAACTTATTCATTTAGTGACCATTTAAAGTTGCAACGGCCCTGAAAAAGTGACTTATGACTGGCCTCACACTTATAACCGACACAGCATCACTGTGGTCACGTGATCAAAATTTGAGTGCTTGGTAATGTATACAACAGTCACAAAGCTCCTGGGGTTGTGTGAGCTTCCCTGGCCACCTTCCCAGGCAGCTTCCAGCCAGCTAAGTCAGTGGGGGGAGTTGGATTCACTTAATGACCGCATGATTCAATTAACAACCATGGCAAAAAAGATGCAAAATCAGCTGGGATTCACTGAACGACCGCCTCGATTAATAACAGAAATGCTGGTCTTGATTGTGGTTGTAAGCTGAGGGCTACCTGTGTATCAGTTGCCAAGGTTGGGAGGCCCCTCCCTGCTGTATGTGACTGGTTGAAAAGGGATTGGGGGGGGGGCATCCTCACAATGGCCACCCCGGCACTCACCCCCTCTTTGGCCAGGAGCAGCTGCTTCTCCGCGTTCTGTTTCTTGATGTTGTAGTACTGGACCTCCACCTCGTGCGTCAGCTGCAGCCACTTCTGGAGGGCATTGGGGGCCGACCAGCTGCTGTGGGACTCCAGCTCCTTCTCCGCATTCCGGAGGGCCATGCGCACCTGGGGGGGGGAGACATAAGGGCCCCAGCAGAGCTTCAGAGGGCAGAGAGGACACACCCCAGAGAATAGCAACAGCAGCCGTGGGGAGGCTTGGCGCTTATGTGGACACCCCACAGGCCCAGAGACAGCTGAGGGTGGGGGCCAGTCCGAAAGGCGGCAGGTCAAGGGCCAGAAGTCCAGAAGTAGGAGGTTCAGGGACCAAGAAAAGAGAATAGTTGCAGCCCGGGGTTGAAATGAAGGGCCCTTGGTTCTCTCTCTATTTGGTAGCTTTCTGGCAGATGTTTCATGACCCAACTAGGGAACGTCATCAGTGCTGGGAGGGAGGGAGCGTTGTGGAGAGAAGGACGAAGACTGTGGAGTTGTTAGTGCTCTCTGAGCCTGGTGGTTTTCTTATAGACATTTCATGACCCAACTAGGGAACATCATCAGTGCTAGGAGGCCACAGGGTTTGCAGGGAGGAGGAGGAGCAGTGTGTGGGGGGGTCCTTGGTGCTCTCTCAGCTCAGTTGTTTTCTTGCAAACGTTTCATGACCTGACCAGGTAACAGCTTCAGTGCTATCATCATCATCATCACTAGCACTGATGCTGTCACCTAGTCAGGTCATGAAAACGTCTGCAAGAAAACAACCAAGCTTAGAGAGCACCAAGGACCCCGCACAGCCCGGGTCCCCAGCAGGGGCCACCCCCTCCCTCACCCCCAACCCCCCAGGCGTACCTGCTCCAGCTCCTGCTCGGCATACTTCTGCCTGCTGAGCTCGTTCTCGGTGCCTTCGCGCAGCTCCCGGAGCCGGTGGGCCTCTTGCTTGGCGATGCTGATCTCGTCCTGCAGCCTCTTCTCCAGGGTGACCTTCTCCACCTCCACCGAGCGATGCTCCTCCTGGGCCTTCTGCAGCCTGAGGAAGAGAGGGAGGGGTGTGTGGGTGTGAAAGGTGGGGAGGGAGGGAGGGGGCAGGCCCTCCCGGCCGATGAGAGCAGGGCCAAGCGGGATCTGGAGGAAAGGCGGAAGGGACCAGCAGGAGGGGCCAAGGAGGAGACCCCGGGGAGGATCTGGGGAGCCAGGGCAAAGGAGGAAGCTGGGCTGGGAGGGACCATCTCAGGAATCCCTTGGAGATCTTCTGGAACCTCCTTCCTTTGGTTTCAGGGCAGCCTCCTCTAGCGGAGAACCTCATGGGCGGAAGAGGTGGGGCAGGCAGGGACCTCCGGAGGGACAATTAGAAGAGGACCAGAGAGTTGGAAGGGACCCTGGAGGTCTTCCGGTCCATTCCATCCAGCTGCCACTCTGCCAAGGAGAACTTTCTTCAAAGCGCCCGAGGGCCAAGTGACTGAAGCAACCGCATCTAATCCGAGTGCAGGAACTTCTTGACTTACAACGGTTCGTTTAGTGACTGAAGTTTCAACGGCACTGAAGAAAGGGACTTATGACAGTTTTTCACACTTACGACCACTGCAGGACCCCTGGGGTCACGTGATCAAAATTCAGACGCTCGGCAAGTGGTTCCTATTTATGACTGTCGCAGTGTCCCGGGGTCACAAAAAATGAGACATGGAGGAAGGTGGACAGGCAGGTCCTCCATAAAGGGGGCAGATGAGTTCGGAGACCTCCACTGCCTAGGAAGGATCCCCATGCAGGCGTCTAAAGGCAGGACTACCCCAGGGACGCCCGGGGGCCGGAGAGAGAGAAAAAATCCTAAGCACCACCCAGAGACCATCAGGAAGTTTCCAAGACTCCTTGGAGATCTGTAGGTCCAGAATTAGCCCAGGAGATCAGCCCCACTGGGGGCTTGCAAGCCCAAGTAGCTCCTGCAAGGCTCCCAGGCCACGGGACCTGAGGAGCAGGTGACCTCTCTCAATCCAGGTGGAAGACTGTAGTTTCCATCAGCCCAAGGGCTCAGGGGTGGGCAACTCTGGTGACTTTGCAACCCATGGACTTCAACTCCCAGAATTCCTGAGCCAAACCACCAAGCTCAGAGGGCATTTAAAAAAAAAACCCTTTCTCCCGTTATTGATCACATCTCTTCTGGCAGCATCTCTTGGGGATGTGCTGGAGCAAGTACAACCAAAATAAAAAATGGGTTGGGGGCAACCACCTCCCTGACATACGTGAAGGCCCACCACACTCACCCTGTGGGGAATTCATCCAATGTTTCTCAAGGGAGCTGAAGCGCATGCAGACTTCGCCCGGGCACACGGAGGGAGGCAGGGAGGGAGGGAGGGAGGGAGGGAGGAAGGAAGGAAGGAAGGAAGGAAGGAAGGGGATCAGCCCCCGTCTCCCCCGTCAAGGGTCCCAGCTGGAAGGAGGAAGCGGCCCACCCACCTTTCCTGGAGGTCGTGGAGACTCTGCTCAGCCCTGTGAAGGCCTTCGAGGTCCTTCATCATCTTCTTCATGTGCTCTTTGGAGTAGCGGTTCTGGATGTAAGCAAACCAGCAGCCTCCCACGCCAATCACGATGGACACCACCAGCATGAAGTCTTTCAAGTGGTTATGACGGGTCACTGGGGAAACAGAAGTGGAAGAGCGTCAACAAGGAGACCCACCCAGCTCCTTCCCTTCCCCTCCTTGGCCGGCTTTGATCTGATCTGGAGGCCAGCACCCCGCCGGGCTTCCAGATTCCAGGGGAGGGGAGGGGAATTCTCAGATCAGGGATACTCGTCTCTCCTGGAAGGTCTGAATGGGCCAGAAGGGGCAGGCGTCTTCATGAGGGTCTCTCTGCAGCACCAGAGATCCAAGTAACGTAACAGCAGAATCACAGAGCTGGAAGGGAGCTTGGAGGTCTTCTAGTCCAATCCCTTGCTCAAGCAGGAGACCCTATGGGTGTCCAGTCTCTTCTTGAAAGCCTCCAGGGATGGAGCCCTTGGCCTTGTGGCCTTGCTTGGGGGACACATGGGCCCTCACAACCATGGGGCTGGCTGTCCCCCTCAACTCTATTAACAACCATTAATCCACCATCTTGGAACTGTAATTCTGTTCTGTTCTGTTCTGTTCTAGAATTTTTTATAAAATGGTTTTATAATTTAAATTTTTTAAAATCTTAAATTATTCTGATTGTCAAGTTTAATTTTATCAGTTATGTTGTTCGCCACGCAGAGTCCCCCCCTCTGACCCCCTGGGGCTTGGCTGTGACTCCTAAGCCACCTTCAGACACGCATCTCCACGAGTGGCTCTTCAGGGGCCCCCCCTTTGGGCTTTGGAGAATTACAGGCGTGTGGTTTTAGTGCAGTTAAAACCAGCCACAGCAACTCCAGAGGTCGTATTGTCGATGAGTTTTGGCCAAGGCCCTCAAGAAGTCAGAAAGCCTCATAGGGGTCAATCAGTAAGGGATATCTCCATGAACGTCTTGCAGAGAGATGGGCTGCAAATAAATGTAATAAATAAAATAAACTTACAGCCATCGGTCTGGAAGTAGCCAAAAACGCAGTTTAGAAAGAGATTGGGAATGTTTTCAGTTTGCAACTAGATAAAATCTCTGCAGAAAGAAAGGAAGGAAGGAGATGTTCTTCTCAGAACGAAAGAACCGATTGTTCTTTCAGCAATCAGCCTTTGGACCAAGCATTAGGGAGTTATTTGTTCTTCGTTCAGCCTCCTCATCCTTAATGAAGCAGGATTATTGCCTTCCTTCAACAGGAATCACAGGGCTCTAGCGATGTAAATACAGGCTGGGCCAACCTGGAGACCAAGTGTCGCATGGCAGGGATGTTGGAGCAAACCCCAAGGAAGAAGAATGGACCTTCTTGAGCAGGTCTCCAGGTTCTCTTGCATCTTCAGGACCGTTTCCAAAGGGTTGAACCAGGAAACCATTAAACAGCATCTTCCAACTGTCCAGGCCCTTCCCTTCAGACCTGAAGCCAGGATGGCTCATCATGCAGGTTCTTCCACCACTGGGGGAGGGGGGGGTGTTCTCCGCAGAGGGAGAAGAACCTGCCAGATCCAGTTCCTGGTGTTTCCCAGCTGTCATGGGGCTCCAAGAATCCTAGAGCTGGAAGGGAGCTTGGAGGTCTTCTGGTCCAACCCCCTTCCCCAACCTTATAACATTCTGGACAATCTTTTCTTGAAGACCTCCAATGATGGAACAGCCATCACTTCTGCTGAAGGCAAGTCATTCCACGGATAGGAAATTGCTTCTCTCCATGAGGAGTGTCCATCCGTTGCTTCTTGTTCTGTCTAAAGCCTTTCGTAGAACCCTATGGCCGGAAGGGACCTTCTAGTCCAAGGCAGGAGGCCTTAGGGCATCCCAGACAAATGGCTGTCCAATCTTTTCTTAAAGGCCTCAATGACGGAGCAGCCGCCACTCCTGGAGGAAAGCGGTTCTGTTCATTAATTGTTCTCACCCTCAGGAAATTTCTCCTTCGTTCCAGGTAGGACCTCCTTCTGACAGTCTTCCACCTGTTGCTTCTTGTTCGCATGTTGTGAAACACACACACACAATGCGAGAGAAGGTTCCCAAGAAGAAGCAGCAGCCCAGCCCCTCCGCTTGCCAGCTTGCTGGGACCAGTTTCAACTCCTCCTCACAATGGAGCAACCTCCGTCAAAGGCGGCCAACGTGAGCTCAGCCGGGGAAGATGGACGCCTTCCTTCCTGGCTTGTGGCCGAGCAGAGGAAACCCCAAGAAGGGGGAACCGGCTCTGGCTGACCTTCCGTGAAGGAGCATCTGAAGAGAGGGGCTCACCTCGCTTGGGTCTCCGTCTGGCGAGACCCCTGGAGTTTTGCTCTGCTCTGCTGGAGTCCTTTGTGAAAGTAGGCCTGCTTTTGCCAAGGGTGCCAGTACATCATGCCGGTAGACAGGTAGTCCTCGACCTATGACCGCAATTGAGCCCAACCTTTCTGCTGCTAAGCCAGGCATTTGTTAACAAGTGAGTTTTGCCCCAAAGTACCCCCTCTTTTGCCACAGAGTTTAAGCTAAGTTGTTCAATGGATCTGGCTTCCCCACTGACGTTGCTCCTCAGAAGGTCACAAAGGACGACATGACTCTGGGATGCTGCAACAGTGGGTACACGCCACTGGCCAAGGGCCTGAATTCTGATCACATAACCAGTTCTTCCTTCCTTCCTTCCTTCCTTCCTTCCTTCCTTCCTTCCTTCCTTCCAACTGTTGATGTAGATCAGGGGTGTCAAAATTTCATTGAGGGCTGTGGTTGACCTGGGGGAGGGGCTGGAGGGGGGCATGACCGACTGGATGGGTGTGGCTAGCTTGCTCCCCAAACTACTGGCCCAATGTTTCCTCTTTGCATTGGGTAGACCGGGCCGAAGCCATGCGGGCCGGCCCCTTACATTTTCCAGGATGGCCCCGTGGGCTGGATCCGGCCCTCAGGCCTTGAGTTTGACAGCCCTGATGTAGATGGAGCAGCGTTTCCCAACACAGGGCCCTTTAAGAGGTGTGGACTTCCACTCCCAGATTCCCCAGGTCTTCGAGGGCCCTGGGTTGGGAAACGCTGGTGTAGAGAGCTGGAATGAAGTGCTCCAGCTAAAACAGCAAATAAACACATAAAATGAAAAAGAAAGGACCAAGACATCTGCTCGTATTTTAAACAGATCGTCAAAGCAGTGAAGGACTCATAAGCCATTATATACACAACCCCACAAGGAGAGAAATCCCTCGGCATTAGAAGAATATACAGATGCGGTAATAATCCCATTAGAGCAGGGGTCTCCAACCTTGGCAGCTTTAAGCCTGGCGGGCTTCGACTCCCAGAATTCCCCAGCCAACTGGGAGCTGAAGTCCGACAGGCTTAAAGTTGCCAAGGCTGGAGACCCCTGCATTAGAGGGCTCTCTGTCCTTCCCCTAAACTATTCCTTTAAATCTACAAATACACACACACACACACACACACACACACACACAGAGTAAGAAACTAAATTAAGTCTGAAAGCATCAAATATGCCGTGAATGAGTTCCAACGGATTAGACTGCTCGTCCTTTTCTCAAAAACCATAAAAGAAACTCTACTCTCACTGGTCCTGTTTCCTTCTGTACTGATGGCCTCATGGTGATAAAATAGAAAAAACACCCAGGAAAAAGTGAGTTCCAACACAAATACAAAGACACACCTCAGATAATGCAACTAGGAAACAAAACAAAAGCAAAATTCCCATTGCGTTTACAGGTACTCTTTGACTTACGACCACAATTTCTGTTGCTAAGTGAGTTTTGCCTCATTGTACGATCTTTCTTAACACCATTAAGTGAATCAGTACACTTATTAAGTTAGTGACCCGGTTGTTAAGTGAATCTGGCTTCCCCGCTGACTTTGCTTATCTGAAGGCCGCAAAAGGGGATCGCGTGACCCTGGGACTCTGTGACCGTCGTAAATATGAACCAGTTGTCCAAGCACCTGACTTTTGATCACGTGAGACGGGGGATGCTGCAACGGTGGTGAAAGTGTGAAAAACGGTCACTTTTTTCAGTGTGTTTGAGGCTTCGGTCACTAAACGAATGGTTGTAAGTCGAGGACTTCCTGAACAGGAGGTTTAGCCAAAGCCCCCTCCCTTAACTGCAGGATAGGCAGTGTATAAATTTAATCAATAAAATAAATAAGAACTCTGAGCCACAGGTCGTCCCTGACTTACAACTGGAACGAAGCCTGCCCGTCACTGTCGCAAGTCGTTGACGGTCGTAAAATTTTCACAACCTTTTTTGCAAAAGGCAGAAACCAGGTTTGCCACCTAATTGCGTAGACAACTGGGCCCGTCCCCAGGACAAAGAGGTCCCACCGCGGAGGGGCAGCCTTCGGGCATTTTCTCCTCCCCCTCCCCCTCAGCAACACAGGAGAGTCACAGCGGTCGCTGCAAACCTCAAAGAGTTGTGATCACACTCACAACCGGTCACACTTCCTCAGAAATGCCTCAGCCAAGCCACAAGGAGGGAGGTCACCCCGCTTCAGGGCTGCTGGGAAATCCATTCCAGCCTTCAAATTGCTTGAACTAACGTTCCCACAACTCCTTGGCCTGCTCAGCTCAGGACGCTGGGAGTGAAAGTCCAACCCCCCCCCCTAGACACACACACACACACACTCCCAGCCTCCTAGCACCCTGGGACGCTGGAGGGTCACTCACGGAGAGGCGGGCCGAAGAGGACGGTGTCCAAGGCTTTCAGCTGCAGCTTCTGCCGGTGGCTCCTGTCGGTCATCTTCAGAACCATCCCTGACAGGGTGGCATTGCTGACGGCCAACCTGCAAGGAAGAGCGAGAGAGTTGTGCATCTAAGGAAGAGGGAAGGTCAGGCTGGCAAAAGGCGGCACCTCAATTTCCCTCAACAGAATCTGCTCAGAAGAATATTTGTAGCTCAGGGCTCAACTGTGGGGCCTGGTGGTTTTCTTGCAGGTATGTCATTACTCAACTAGGTGACATCATCGGTGCTAGAAGGGAGGGTTTTTTTTTTTCCCCAGAGATAAGGAGGAGGAGGAGGAGGAGGACTGTGGGGCCCTTAGTGCTCTCTGAGCTTGGTGCTTTTCTTGCACATGTTTCATGACCAAACTAAATAGCATCATCAGTGCTAGGAGGTTTTGTAGAACCAGTTGAGTCATGAACGTTCTACGCAACCTTCTAGCACTGATGATGTTACCTAGTTCGGTCATGAAACAACCGCAAGCTCAGAGAGCACCAAGGACCCCCAGAGGGTCAGTTCAGGTGTGCTGCTGGTCACAGGAACAAGATTAGAAGCCGTTTCCAGGTTCTTCTCAAGGCCTTGAAGGCAACATCTGAATGGGACTTCATAAAAGAGGTAAGGTCCATACCGGGGGTCTCTGCAGAGTTGCCAAATCCAAGACCTGCCCTCTAGCATCTCAACTGCATGGAAGAGAGAAGACAGGTGGAAAGACCTGTCTAGCTTCCACAACGATGGAGGAGATGCAGATCCAGCCAAGCAGGTGTGGCTTCCGGCGGGATAACCTCCCTCCCTAGGAAAGGCGAGTGGTCCAAGGCAGGGCAATTATTTTCCAGGGAAAGTTGGCTGAAGCAAAGGCAGCCTTGGGTCTCCAGACCACACCCCAATCCTGCCAGATCTTCTGCAGTCAACTGGTCTTGAAGGCACCTTCTCACCCGATGGCCCTGAAGATGTCGTGGCTTCTTTCGGGACTGGAGAGCAGCAGGTTGCAGAACCTCCAGCCTTACCCCCTTTCCTGTAGCACAAGGCTGTCCAACCTTGGCAACTTTAAGACGTGTGGACTTCAACTCCCAGAATTCCCCAGCCAGCAGGATACCCCTGCTATAGCAAAAGAGGCTTTTTCCTTGCGGTTCTTGGCAATCACACCCCCCCAACTTTCTCAGTTTGATCCCTTCGGTTGTGCAAATCCCCAGCAGAAGTCTGGAAACAGAGATTCTGGGACAGGCATGCAAGTAAATTTTGCACGTTTCAGGTTCCTTGATTAAGCTTAATCGATCTCACTGGGGGTTTCTGTGCTCCAAAGCTCCTTTAACTTCCAAGCAGCATTTTCTCAGACGCAGGGAAAGGAGGATTTCGTAAGAGGTGCCAAGAGTGGCAAAAGGTAAGGAATTCTGCATTACGTATGAAAAGATCACACAGATTTTGGGGTGTTGAAAAGAATTAAGGTATTTTTTAAATCCATCCATCCATCCAAGGATCAAAGTTCCTTTTATATGGGATAATGCCAGATAGAAAAAACAAAATCTTGATTACTTTCATATTCAACTGTATTTGCTTTTGGTATTTATATATACTTAGTATTGTTAGAGCCCTGATCTGGAAAATGAACTGCAGATTTCTCGGCAAAGGGGACTTCCTTGGCCAAGGGTTCAAACTCTACACATGGGCAACCATGGACAAAAAACAGCAGAAGAAGAGAAAAGCTAGTTGGTCCAACGGTTCAGGTGCTGGTCCAGAAACCAGGAGACAGAGAGTTCTAGTCCCGCCTTAGGTATGAGAGCTGGCTGGGTGACTTTGGGCCACTCCCATTCTCACAGTCCAGCCCACCTCACAGGGCTGTTGTTGTGGGAAAATCGGAGGAAGAATGTTGGGTATCTGTGTCGCCTTGAGCCATTTGTAAAATTAACAAAGCTGTGATAAAAAAATAAATGAAATAAAAATAGCACTGGTTCAAAAAGAGAAAAAAAATCATGGTTTTTTTTTTGAGAAGCAGCCGGGGGTCTCTCAGGAGCACCAGCAGCCTCCCAAAAACTCCCTCTCCCTCAAAGCCACAACCCCCGAATCCGTCCCCCTCTCTGGGTCCGACGCCCTGAATCCTGGGCCACGGCAGGGCAGGCTGACCTGGGCATGGCGTGGCCCGTGAGCTGAAGCTTCCGGAAGGTCTCTTCGTACTGGGGGAGCTCCACGTAGGTGATCAGCCACTGCACCACTTCCTCCACCGTCCAGTTGTAGACTGCAGAAGAAGCAGAGAGAGACACACACAAAGTTATTCCCCCTCCTGCCGTCCCTCAGCTGAACCCCCCCCCCCCCCCGATTCTCACAGTGCTGCCTAAGGTCTATGTGCATTTACCGACCCTGTAATATTATTATTATTTATCCTTTCTATGATCTTCTTTACTCCGTCCTCTGATTGATATAACTGGAGTCAGGAGAGAGCCTTACAAGAGGGCCACTGTGCCCCACGAGGAGGGATCTGCCCACTACCTCTTGGCAAACCTGGTTCTGCCCGCTGGCCTGGGGTCTCCATGGGAGTGTGTGTCATGCTGGGGGTGGGTGGGTGGGCTGGTGGTTTAAGGGAAGACTCTATCTTCACCCTGCCATATATCTTAATTTCAATGGCAATATTTAATGTTGGGATGTTCTCGGAGCTTGGTTGTTTTCTTGCAGACGTTTCATTAACAAACTAGGTAACATTATCACCTGAACTGTAAGGAGAGGAGAGGAGAGGAGAGGAGAGGAGAGGAGAGGAGAGGAGAGAGGGAAGGAGGGAGGGAGGGAAGGAGGGAGGGAGGAAAGGAAAGGAAAGGAAAGGAAAGGAAAGGAAAGGAAAGGAAAGGAAAGGAAAGGAAAGGAAAGGAAAGAGGGAGGGAGGGAGGGAGGAAAGAGGGAGCAGATTGCCACTGCCAGGGGGTGGGGGGTGGGCTTGCGGGGGTCTCCCATCCCAGTCAGCATTAATTTGGATCACTCCATTGTTCAGCTCTGCTCTGTAAGGCCTTGCTATGAAAGTATGTTGAAGTATAAATTCCCTTCTACTATTGTTTATTTATTCAGCAGGGAGAAGGAAGAAAGGGCTGGGGGGGGGGGGAGACACTGGAGGTGATGGAGACCCTCCCAGTCTGGTCGCTTTCCCTACCAGCAGAGGAAAAGCAGGGATGCTGGAGCCCTGGGATGATCCCGGTTTGAGGGGGTCCACCTATCCTCCAAAGCCCCTGAAGGCAGGACGAGAAGCAACGGATGGAAACTTATAAGAGAAATCCAGCCTAGAACTAGAAATTTCTGACAGTGAGGACAGCTAGCCAGTGGAACGGCTTGCCACTAGAAGTTGTGGCTGCTCCATCACTGGAGGTTTTCAAGAAGAGACGGGACAGCCGTTGGTCCAGCATAGTCTAGGGCCTCCTGCTTGAGCAGGGGGCTGGACTAGAAGACCTCCGAGGTCCCTTTCAGCTCTCGCATTCTATGTTCTAGAAGAGCAGGTTGCACCCCAAGAGTCAGGGCAGCCTCATCCCAAGGAGAGGAATCTGGAAAGGGCCGATTAAACTGCAGACAGTCCTCGACTTACAACAGTTCAAAGTTGCAACCACACTGAAAAGAGTGACTTATGAACGTTTTTCACACTTACGACCATTGCAGCATCCCCATGATCATGTGATTGACATTTGGATGCTTAGCAACTGATTCACATTTATGACGGTCACAGCGTCCCGGGTTCGCGTGATCCCCCTTTGCAACCTTCCGATTCAATTAACGACCAAGTTGCTAACTTATCAACTGCAGTGATTCACTTAACAAATGTGGCAAGAAAGGTCGTAAAATGGGACAAAACTCACTTAACAAATGTTTCCCTTAGCGACAGAAATTTTGGGCTGAATTGTGGTCGTAAGTCAAGGACTGGCAGTTTTTCTGCCCAGGCGGGCAGAGCCTGGGAGGCTGAATGCTTGAATGCTCCTTTCTGACCTTGTCATAAAATAAACAAGCATTTGTGACTAATTTGGGGAGGAAAATAAACCTAAGAATAAACGGAGCAGCTCCTTTCAAGGGCCACAACTGCCGGTGTTTACTTTTGCAATTGTGCAGCTCATTTAGAAAGGAAAAGTCCCAGGCTCCAAAGGCTCATTCTCACACACACCCTCCCCATCACGAGAGAGAAAGGAGGCTTTGCTCAGCCCCTTTGCCCGAAGGAGGAATGCCTGGGGGGGGAGGGGTTTTCCAGCTGTTCTGCCCCCTCCGGCACAGCTGGACGGAGGCCACGGGGGCTTCAGCTGCTTTCAAAGGAGCCGAGGAGGAGCTGAGCTTTAGCAGAAAGAGCGCAGAGTCAGCCGAGGGGTCTTTGGCCACTCTCTTAGAACTGCTCTGGCCAGGCGGATCTACCCAGGCGGGGCTTATGAGCTGCTGGGGGCCTCACCTGCCTCGGTCACCAGGCTCAGAGAAGCAAAGACCTTTCCCCCTCGGCCCTCCTGAGCTCTCTATAAACACACGGAATTCACCCCCAGAGGAAGGAAAGGGGGGGGGGGAATTGCTGGGCTGGATTGGTACCAAGGTCTACATCACCCAGCACAAGCTCCACCCACCCACCGCAGGGGACAGGGGGCAATCTAGGAGCACAAAACATCCGTCTGTCTATCATCTATCCATCCATCCATCCATCCATCCGTTTCTCCGTCTATCTAATTTCTATAACTGCCCATCTTAATCAATGACTGGCTGGGTGGCTTACAAGTCCAAAACGAAAACAAACTCCCCGCAGGTACTGGAAGGTTGATATCATGTCCCCCCTGGTCCTTCTTTTCCTTAAACTAGACAGGCCCAGTTCCTGCAAACCGTCCTTCTTCGTATGCTTTAGCCTTGGGTCCCCCCCTTCTCTGCCCTCCCTGCAGGGCTTCAGCACCCTTTCTCTAACGTGCTGACAGGAGGGGCCCAGGAGCATCCGGCTGCAAGCCGGCTTAGAGCCCCCCAGATAACCGGCTGCTCCAGCAGAGCCTGGTGCTTGACGAGGGGAAGCCAAAGCAGGATAAGGGAGGAGTGTTGGCTGAGAGCAGCCGTGTTATCTGAGGAAGCTCTCAGCACCCGTGTCAGCCAGACGCCTGCACGGAGGGCTTGCTCTTTGTTCCTGGAGGGCTTCCCTCTGTCTCCACAAGCCTCTGGGCACAGCGCCTGGTCCTGGTCCGGGGCAGCCTGACCGGCTGGGTTGGACAGAAAAGTCACCCCATGCAAAAGAACTTATTTGTGAAACAGATTTTGAAAGGCTCAAAGGTCCCACTGAAGAGGGAGCCTCTCCCCCTGATGCTCAGAGTCCTTTTGGCATCACTGAAAATGATGGGGAGGGGGTGGCCGACCGGTCTGCCGCTGCCCTAATGAGAGGGCCACCCACAGGAGAGATGGCCCTTCTCCTCCTCCATCCAGGCTCAGCCCTCCCCTCCCCTCCCCTCCGCTCTGAATGAATCTCTAAAGCTGCGGGACAGAGTCAGCCTCCGTGGCCAGAGGAAGAGAGACCCCCCCCCCCAAGCCCTCCTCAATCCCCTCACTCCTATCTACACCAGCGGCTCCTGTGCTTCCTCTTTAAGGCAGGGGTCTCCAACCTCAGCAACTTTAAGGCCTGTGGACTTCAACTCCCAGAATTCCTCAGCCCCCTATGGAGTCCACAGGTCTTAAAGCTGCCAGGGTCGGAGACGCCCTGCTTTAAGGCATTCCTGTGACATCACCCCAAGTCTCTTGGCCTGTACATCTCCACTAAGGAGATCCCCAAAAGACATCTTGAAAAACATTCGTTATTGGCCCGTCCTTCCCCATTGCCCAGGCAGCTGTGTTGCATGAAACACCTTGCCAAACGGTTGAAAAAAAACAACCACCTCTCAATGCAATTGTCCAAAGTTTCAAAACAAACAGTTCTGTGATGAACGGAAACAAGTCACGCTGTCCTGCAACAGGTTCCCTCGAGGGAGGAGAGAAGCGGTCTGCAGGAGGCAGAAGCAGCTGCTGGGGAAGCAGAGTCAGGAAGGAGGAAGAAGCGGAGGAAACCAAGGCCCACGAGAGGGAGGGGGCAGGAGGAGGGCAGGAGGAGGGCAGGAGTTGAGAGTGACCTCCCTGTAGGAAGTTGCCTCCTGCACCTCATCAGCTGGAGAGAAGCTTCCTTTCTCAAACCTGTTGCCCAGCCGTGAGTGGTAGGAGATGACCGGGCTGAGCCCGAGGGAGGGAAGGGTCAAACACCTCACCAGACTCGAGTCCCTTCGTGCCCACAAGAGATCTACGCCCAGCCCACCTTGAACTCCATTGACTCTTATCTGCCGCCAATTCATTTTGACAGTTAATAGTTGAGATTCTTCTAGAGAGCCTAAGCTTGCAATAAAACTTTATACTCATTTGAACTGCCCGGACTTCCTAATTTTCCCACGCGCTTGACATGGGTTTCTCTTTCTGCAGAGACCAGACTGGATAAGTGGAAGAGAATATCTGCAGCTCAGGGTTGAACCGTGGGGTCCTTGGTGCTCTCTGAGCTTGGCGGTTTTCTTGAAGACGTTCCATGACCCAAACTAGATAACGTCATCATTGCCAGTGCCTATGGTGTCATAAATCACACATTTACACACCATTCAACAAGACAACAAAAAGCTACAAAGGAAACAAAAAGACCAGAACAAATCGTTTCCAGCAGCCCACAACCAGATAAGCAGGGATTAACACCAGACAAACAATCCTCATCAAGGAATGATGAACCACACCCATGCTACTGTATATAAGCAAGATTAAACCCCATTCCATTCTAGCAGTCATGATGTTGTTGGGTCATGAACAAATCTCAAAGATCACAAAGAACCCCACAGTCCTCCTCCTCCTCCTCTCCACACATACCCTCCTTACACTGATGAAGTTTCCTAGTTGGGTCATGAAATGTCTGCAAGAAAACCACCAAAACTCAAGAGAGCAGCAAGGGCCCCACAGCCAAAGTGGATGCTAAGCCTTTCCTGTCCATTGCCCTTTCTTGGGGGGCGGGAGGGGGAACCTCCATCTCTTCTCTTGCCCCTTCTCAGCATTTCCCTGGGGCCCTCGGGGCCAAGCAGCCCTTCCTGAAGCCTCTTCCTGCAGTCAGGAGATGGTGAGTTCCGAGCCAGCCGCCGCGTTCTTTCCTGGCAGGCCCGGATTTCTTTCCTGCGGGTGCCCTCTGGGCTTACCTTCCGACACCTTCCAGGTTTTCCAAAGATCTTCCACGCTAATGAGCTTGTCCTCCCCGTGGAAGGTGCTGTGCTTGATGGTCGGGTCGTGGTAATTCAGGTCTTCCCGCAGGAACTGGGAAAGAAAGACAAAGGCAAGGTCAGGTCTGCCATCTTCAGGTGCTTCACTTCGGGGGGCATCCTGCCATAAATTGCAAGGGAGGAGGAAGGAATCTGGGGATAGCAACACGTGGGGCCTGGGAAGCAGAAGACAATCGGTGGGAGGGGTGAGAACCAGAGGTGCCAAATCGGAATAAACCATCCAACAAGGACACCTGGCCTGGGAACTGAATGCAAAACTGCACTAAGAGGTGCCATGCTCCGAGCTGTTCCCAAAGCCTCATAAAGGCGTCCTATTGGACACTGATGGACTGGTCGGGGGGGGGGGGGGGAGGGAGGGCCAGGGAAAGGGGGAAAAGTGTAACCTTTGCATGGGGATATTTAGATCTAGCTTCACTTTCACTGCAACCACTTAACTTTACTAAAGGAATCTATCACTTCAATCAAACGGAGTCAAGAGTCTTTCTTTCCTAAATGTCTAAGTCGAGGCAGGTCCGACAGGCAGAGTCAGCCACTTACATCCGTCCTAGCAAAGGACACCCCTCGCAGAGCTTCTTGCCAACCGGAGGCTGGATCGGGGCCAGAGCAGGGCCAAGGTCCTTCCTGGTTATTACGCAAATGGATTTCACCAAAACATTGAAAAGGCTGCCAATGCTAGCCTGAAAACCTGCCCTGCGTTTTCCCACCTGCTTCCTGCAGGAGATCCGCCTGCCCCATGACAGCCAACTCTGCTGGGGTGTCTGTGTGTGTGTGTGTGTGTGTGGAAGCGTCTACCTGTCTCATTCCCCTGCGTCCTTTTGCTGCTTCTGCCCTTGCCAACAGCTGTCACGGCTCAGCAACCTTGCAAGAAGGGACTGGTGCAAGGCAAACAAGCGAGCCTGTCTGGAATGGTCTAAGCAGGTCTCCTGCCGGAGCAAGGGGTTGGACTAGATGACCTCCAAGGTCCCTTCCAACTCTGTCATTCTGTCATTCTATTATTCCGGGAGGGACTTCCATCACTGAGGGAGGGGCTGCCCCAGAAAAAGGTCTGCCCATAAATAGAGTCCTTTTTGTGCTATCAGAAGTTGTGGCTGCTCCATCGCTGGAGTTTTTAAAGAAGAGACTGGACTGCCATTTGTCCAGAACGGTCTAAGGCCGTGATGGAGAACCTATGGCACATGTGCCCGAAGTGGCACGTGGAGCTATGTTGCCTGGCACGTGCGGTGTTGCCTGTTCCTCTTCCGGGTTTCTGGCACGCATGCGCGCACGACCATCAGCTGGCCTTTGTGCAAGTGGCAGTGCCGAAAATCAGAAGAGCTGGTCTTCCGTTTTCCGGCGTGACCAGCAGACCAGCGCCGACCAGCTGATCGCCGTGTGCACAGGCGCGGCAGTAACCGCAAGACTGGCTGGCTGGCACGCATGCACGCGCTGGAAACCAGAAGTACCTTATCCAGTGTGCGCATGCCCCCTGGGCAGCTCCTCCTCCTGGTCACGGCCCTGACGGGCGCACATGAGGTTCTCCCTTTTTGGCGCTTGGTGCGGAAAATGTTCGCCATCACTGCTCTAGGGTTTCCATGCCTGAGCAGGGGGTAGAGCCCCAAGGCCCCTCCCAAGCTAATCATGTCTTCCAGTGGTCTTCCGGGTGCGCTTCAAGGTGTTGGTGACCACCTTTAGACCACCTAAGCTCCATGGCTTAGGACCCAGGTATTTATGAGACCGCCTTCTGCCACCGATAGCCTCCCACCGACCAGTACGCTCCCACAGAGAGGGGTGGGAGGGTGCCGTCAGGGTGCCGTCGGTCAAACAATGCCTACTGGCGGCCCCCAGGGGGAGAGCCTTCTCTGTGGGGACACCTACCCTCTGGAATGAGCTGCCCCCGGAGATACGGCAGATCCCGGATCTACGCACCTTTCGCTGTGCCCTAAAGACGTATCTATTCCAACAAGCCGGGCTGGCCTAACTCTTTTAAATTGTTTTAATTTTTAAACTGCTTAATTATGGGTTTTAATACAGGGGTGCTTTTAATTGTGGGCCAAATTAATTTAATCGGATTTTAATATTGTTTTTAAATTTTGTGTTTCTTGTGTTTTATCTGTTGGCTGTTCACCACCCCAAGTCCTTTGGGAGAAGGGCGGTATATAAATATAAACAATAAATAAATAAATAAATAAATGTGGGTACAAGATGGGGACACAGGTGGAGAAGTTGGGGGGAAAGGACCCAGCCACCTGCATGGGTAAGTGGGCTGAGGAATCAGTGACTTGGTGACCTCATGTTCCGTCCAATGGGATGACCTTATGAGAGGGATGGGTGGAGACACAAGAAGAGCCAATAGAAGGGAACCTTTGGAGCTCAGGGTTGAACTTTGGGGCTCCTTGGGGCTCTCTGAACTCAGTGGTTTTCTTGCAGGCGTTTCGTGGCCCAACTAGGGAACATCATCAGGGTTAAGAGGGGACGGGGTTTGTGGAGCAGTAGAGGAGGAGGAGGAGGAGGAGGAGGAGAACTGTGGGCTTCTTGCAGATGTTTCATGACCCAACTGGGTAACATCATCAGTGCTAGAAGGAAGAAGGGTTTGCTCTCATTTTATACATGTGGGAGAGTTCTTGGTGGTTCCTTCTTGTTGCTTATTGCTTGTCTGAGTTGGTAGTTTCCTGATTGGAGTTACACTGGCAGGGAAGGCCACTTGTATATAAACAGAGAACAAACCCTTCTCCCATCTAGCTGTCTGGGGAATTCTGGGAGTTGAAGTCCACAAGAGTGGCCAAGATTGGACAGCCCTGCTCTAGAGCTCTATCTGGCCATCCTCAGGCGAAAGCTGCCACAATCTGGGGAGATTCCTGTATTACAGGCAGAAAATAAATAAAGTTATGAAGTTTGAACTCTACCTGTGTGCACCTGGTTGTTTGCACCTCACGGGAGTTGCCCGAGGGCTTTAGGCTCAAGGGGCCGAGTTGAAAACTGGGATGCCCACCAGAGACAGACACAAGGCATTGCGTGGCTGTGCCTTTTAAGCAAACTTCATTACAAAAACATTTGCATTTTTTTAAAAAAAGCACCCAGAAAGCAGTTAAGAAAAAAACTGAGGCAGAAGATGTGTGACACCATTTCCTGCTGCTCATCACGACTCACAAACTCTTGGACTTGAAAAAAAAGCAAAGTCAAACTAAGAGTGTCAAAAACAAAACACAAAAAAAAACCCCGGATTTCTTTTTTTTTTTCTTTCTGAAACGAGCCAGCAAGCCACAAGCACGGAGGGTGCTGTGTTCACAACCACAGCAATAAAGGGAACCACAGGGTGGGCTGGAGAAAACAAGCAGCTAATTGCAACAAAAATCTCCCAGGGCTGAACACGCACAAGAGCCCCTGGTGCAGCTTGAGGGATCCTTTCCGAGTGGACGATCACTCAGACAGAGCCGGCCGTGTGCGGCAGCAGCCAAAGAAGCGAATACAGCAATCCTGGGTTGTATAAATAGAATCAAAAATAAATCGAAGCATAGAATCAAAGTCACGGGAAGTTTTGGCACCACTTTGTAAAGCCTTCGTAAGGCCACACCTGGAATCCTGAATCCAGTTTTGGTCCCCACATCACAAAAGAGACGTTGAGACTTTGGAAAAAGTGCAGAGAAGAGCAAGCAGGATGATTAAAGGCCTGGAGGCTAAAACGTAGGAGGAACCCTTGCAGGATTTGGGTTTGGCCAGTCTAGAGAAAAGGAGGACTAGGGGTGACGTGATAGCAGCCTTTCAGTATTTGAGGGGCTGCCCCAAAGAAGAGGGGGGGGTCAACCTGCTCTCCAAAGCACCAGAAGGCAGGACGAGAAAAGATGGAAACTCACCAAGGAGAGAAGCAACCTGGAACTAAGAAGAAATTTCCCGGCAGGGAGAACAATCAACCAGTGGAAGCTGCCTTCAGAAGTGCCCCATCACTGGAGGTTTTTAAGAAGAGACTGGACAGGCACTTGTCTGGAATGGCGTAGGGTCTCCTGCTTGGGCAGGGGGTTGGACTAGAAGACCTCCATGGTCCCTGCCAGCTCTGTTATCCTATGTTCTAGGATGGAGCTTGTGGGAAAATGCCTGGGGGGAGGGGCGTGCCTTGGGCCCTTCCAGCTCTATTCTATTCTGATTCTTTCTCTGGCCGGCTGGCCCTCCAAAGAGCCCCCTCTGGAGTTCCAAGGCCTAGGAAGAGCGAGGGAGACAATCTGGGCCGTGCAGTGACCTTTGCAGAGAGCCAAGGCCAGGGTTCTAAGCAGAGAGAAAGGCGAGAAGGTTAGAGATGAAACTTCCCAAAACGGTCCAAGATCTCGGAAGGCTCCGCTTGAGCCTTGCAGCCAAGCCAGGGGGGCAAAGCGGAGGTGCAGACCTGCTTCCCTGCAGCCCCAGCCCCCCTCCCCAGCAGAGCCCGTGACCTCCACCCGGAGCCTGGCAATGTCATCCAGACCCTCCATGCAGCTCGCAGCAGCCCAGATCTCCCCCAGGGAAGCAGGCAGAGGAACCAGCTGCTGCCGGGTATATTTAGCTCAGGAAAGAAAATGATCCCTCCTGCCAGGCCGCAAAGTCCAGCTTCCAAGGGCCCCAGGAAGAGGCGGCGGCCAGGCGGAGCTGCTGCTGCTGCTGCTGGTGGTGGTGGTGGTGTGGGGGGTCTTCTGGGAAGCCAGGAGTCCAGGGGCTGCTAAGGCAACTGCAGGGGGAGCAGGAAGAACCAGGAGACAAGCAAATGGGCTCTGCCTTCCTTCCTTAGTTCCTTCTTTCTTTCCCTCCCTCCCTCCCCTCCCTCTTCTTTCCCTTCTTCCCTTCCTCCCTTCTTCCTTCTTTCTCCTTCCTGGCACAGCTCAATCAAGAGTTCCAGTTCTTAGTAGGAAACCCCGAGTGTGGCACGTTGGCACCCCCGCCCGCCCGCCCAGAGGGCCCACCTCAACGTGGAATTCTCCTGCTTCCTATGTCAACATACTGAAACAACACACAGAAAAGGAGAATCAAAACTACTAAACTGCCACAAAATCAGAAATAATTACGGTGTGCATAAATTTTGGAAAGGGGTTG